AAACACGATATTGAGTAGTTTTGTTATTATGTGGATAAGATAGAATATGGTGAACAAGTGTCACTATAAGATTGTTAAAAAGATCAAATGATGTGGTGAGTATTTGTATAAGAATTCAAGAATAGATGCATCAGTGACAAGTGTATAAGAGATATGGAGATAGAGTTTATGAATTTAAGACAAAGGGATAATATTGTGTATAAGCAAGAGTGTGGCTATAATAAGGGTTTGCATTCTAGATGAAAAGAGTTAGCGTTGACTAACCAGATTATGTGATGGAAAATGTATGTGAATTATAAGATTTTGAGATATTGTCAGAACAGAAAAACCAAAGATGAGGTGGATCTGGATACAGTTGTATATTTGGATCATAATAAATGTGGATTTGATAAGTTAAGTAAACTATTGCTGAGATAATTCCGACTGGAATGAATGTATATGAATGGTTCGATGAAGGTTTATGCTTTAGATTGGAATAATTGGTGGTGACTAACATAATTATGTGATGGTAAGTGTATCAAAGGTAAAGGATTAGAAGATGATGTCAGGGTAAATTAATTAAGTAGGGTGTGAATTGAGACACGATTATGTATTTTGATCACGGAAATATAAGGTAATAGAGGAAACAAGAGAATAATATTGTATACGGATAAGAGTGTGGGTTGGATAAGTGAGTAAATTGCACTGATTGGATTTCAACTGAGAAGATGAATATGATTAGTCTGATTAGGGCTTATGCCCTAAATTGGAAAAGTTGTGACTGATTAACTGTAATAGTATGGATAATAAAGTTCTAAGATTTGAAGAAAATATAAAGTTAAGTTAATCAAGTATGATGTGGATTTGGATATGGTTTTGATCATATAAATATGATGTGGGCAAGGAAATAAGTATTGGTATGTTTAAAAAGGAGCTTTGAGGAAGAAAATACAAGTACAAGAGATGGTAAAGAACAAGGTTATGTATAAGTAAAGCGGATTATCAAAGTTATGAAGATGCGATGAAGATCAATAATCAGGGATAAGTATAAATGATATGAAAAGAGTATGAGAGCCTGAAGAAAAGATGTGATCTATGTTATAAGGAAATTTTGATTTTTGAAGGAATGAAAGAATAAAGGGATAGGAAAAGACAAAGATGGAGGTTAAACAATCAAGAAAGACAAGAGGTATATTGAGATATAAGTTATAAGTTGATATTGAAATAATACAATTTTCAATTATTAGAAGAACGAGAATGGGTGATTATTCTTTGAACAAATACGTAAGGGTTATATGAAAAGATTGGGTGTATAATAATACTTACAAGGATTAAGAAATGAGCAAAAGCTTGATTTATGTGCAAAGCACATAGAGAATGATGAAAAAGATCAATTGATCTATAATAGTGAGGATTAAGGATTTGAGGTTGCTATCTATATAATGAATAATATTATATGGACTTATAAAGATGTGGACGTATATAAAGAATTGAGTATGGGAAAATGGTAGGTTGTAGCGGTGGCAGGAAATATTAAGGGAATCAATATGAAAATATTAGAAGATGTGATATTATAAAGGCATGCAGTGAAAATTCGAGGACGAATTTTCTTTAAAGGAGGGAAGATTTGTAACATCCCAAATCAGGGTTAGTGACTAAATTGCAAACTTTGAAAGTTTTGTGTTCAATTTAGAAATGAAATTAAAAGTCTCGGGATTTAAGTAAAGAATTTTAATATTGGATTAAATAGCAAAGATAGATGAACTAAAGGGGCAAAATGGTCTTTTCATGAGAAAAATTTTTATCTTCCCTTTTTTAGTATTATATAAACGTGGGAAATATGAGAGAGTTTCAGACTTCTCTTCTTCATTCTCTTCTTTTCCACCGTGAAGCCATAAGCAAAGGTAAGATCTCTTGTTAGTTGATATTTAGCTGAATTTAGGATTTGGTTATGATTATTGGATGATAATTAAGCTTAAGGAAAGCTTAAATCATCTTAAAAACAAAGGATGGTGGAATTAGAAGAGATTAAAGATTTTGAGTTTTTGAATGAAATCTTGAAATAAAGTTGATAAGTTGAATTTTAAGTTGAATTTGGCTTGTCAATAGTTGAATTAAGAGATTTGGAGTGATACAAAGGAATTTAGAACATGTTGAAATTTGAGTATAATTATTGAATTTCATTAAGAGGAGAGGATTTTGAGAATTAAGATGGGTTAAATGAGTACAAATGTGCTTAAGTATGTGTGTTTGAGTTTAGTATATGAAAGAGGTTGAAATATGAAGTGTTTAAGATGAAATGAAGTAAATTTCGTGTTGAAAATATGATTTCTGGGCTAGGGGAATCGGTACCCATTCAAGGGGAATCGATACCCCCTCAAACGAACCAGAAATTCCAGAATCTCATAGGGGAACCGATTCCCCCACAGGAGGGAACCGATTCCCCCTAAAGGAAAATTGTGAATATGAGTTTAATAAGTTCGTTTAAGTTGTTAGTATCCAATTATAAGGTGTAGGTATCTAATGATTGCCTCAAAATGTACATTTATGTAGATTCTGCGCGTAAAGCAATTCCAGAACATTTGGCAAGTAAGATCGATCAAGGAAAAGATAAAGATTGGAATTGACTAGTGAGGCCAAGGTGGGTGCATACTAGTGACATGTAGTGTTTAATGGAGATAAGACTTGCGATGAGTCTATTTCCTAGAGTAATATGCATGAAGTCATAGACATGATTATGTGTTGGTTATAACTATATGTGATTATATGTATTACATTGATTGTATGTATGCATGACTAAAGATAATGATATGCTTTGTATATGCTATATGATTTATGTAAAACTTTATTATGTAATAATGGAAGAACATGTAATAAGTTATATGATAGAGTCATAAGAAATGAAATGAACATGAAAGAATAAGATAATCAAGTATAAGTCATATGATATGGTATAAGTGATTATACGAGAAATGTTAGGAGACTCTAAGAGAATAGTATGAATTCGAGGGCATAAATAAGGATACATAAGTTATATAGAGAAGATTGATAAATTAAAGGAAACTATGATTTATGTATTAAAGTGAAGAGCTACAAAGTTTTATTAAAGAGTATTGTGGAAGTCATGAGAAATTGAACTAAATAAATAGATGGTTTATGTGAGTGAAAAGGGAAAATGATATAAAATAAGTGGAAATTATTTATAGGATAGAATGATACTAATTGATCCTGTAATATAAACTTTATAAAGGAGTACTTGGGTAAAATCATTATATGATACAATTATAGAATATTACTATACAAATTATATTAAAATAATATATATGAGAATATGAGTAAGTTTATAGGTTATTGATAGGATATATAAGAGTATATAAATGTATGATAATATGAAAAAGTGAACTAAGTTTAATGATGTTGAACCCTATGAGTAGAAGTTATGTGATTATAAGTAACATGATTATATGATCACAAGATATGATACATGATATGAGATATATGAAAGAGAAAATATATGTTATATGAAATATTATATGACTATGCAATTATATGAAAATGTTCTACGCGTAAGTTAACCATGCGTTTATATGTATATGGGATATGTGATTTATATGACGATGAGCTATGTGAAAGAACTACATGACTATGTGTATATGTGAATGTATGTTAACATAAATATTAATGCCCATGTTATGTGTCATGAGAGCTAGGGGTATAGTTGGCATGCCAAGAGTCGAGGGTCTATGTGGTCCTTCGGGACATATATGTATTCTTTGAAACATGTGTGAAGTCTGGTGAGACACATACTTGATCCTTGACATATGTATATGATTCTTAAGGAATGATATGTGGTCCTTCGGGACATATATGTATTCTTTGGAACATGTGTGAAGTCTGGTGAGACACATACTTGATCCCTAGTATATGTATATGATTCTTAAGGAATGATATGTGGTCCTTATGGACATTATTATATGGCACTACGGTGCAATTCTACGCGGCACTCCGGTGCAATTCTACGCGGCACTCCGATGCAATTCTACGTGGCACTTCGGTGCAGTTATACGAGCTGTGGGGACAGCATAGTGTACAACCTCTATAGACTCACATATCTAGAGTTCTCGCATGTGTATATGGGCTTTGAAAAGAGAACATAATTTGATATAATGATATGTGTATTTCTCGTGACATGGTAGAAGTGCATATATGTCATGGTGATATGAGATGCTATGCGTTTATATATTATATGATTATAGAAATTAGTAATGTATTATGGCATATTAAAATATATATAATATGTTTATATTAATTATATGCTCATATGACGGAATTGAAGTAATGACAAGGGAATTAGTAAGGATAAATAGGTTGGTGATATGAGAACAATGTATGTGATATATGTATATGATGTGTGATATGAATTGCATGATATGATATATGTGTGATAGGGGTTTTAATATTTGTTACATAATATACATGAATATATGTTGATGTATATGTAAATGAGTTGTATAATTTGATAGCATAAAACAGTCATGCATGATTACTGGGAATGAATTCCATTAGATATGTTTTCTTTATGCCTCACTAAGTCATCGACTTAGCGTGTGAGTGTTTCACCCGCAGGTTACCGAAAGTGAATATAGAAGCTGTGAGGAGCAATACAGGTCAGCATCTCCCATACAAGATTTCAGATCAGAAAATAGATGAGTTAAATGATTTTTGTTATTTTGAATATAGTTGGCATGTACTAATTGATTGAGTTAAATATGCTCTGATCGATTTAGGTTATTGTGGTCAAATTATGTAACTAAACTGCTTGTACTTTAATGAAAGTTTTAAATTTTCTTTGAATTTTGTCAAGAGTCAAAGTTTGAAAAGTAAATGTGACACCTCGGATTCGTATCCGGGTCGGGTACGGGTTGGAGGTGTTACACATAAACTATAAGATCTTATATGCAATTGATCCTATTCGATTTAAGCTAAAAGAATATGAAAAATAACATAAATGACACCTGAACACTTATCTTAACAAAGGCACACTAATGAACAAGCCAAAGCTCAACAAAATATATCTGAAACTGGAAATAACTTTCATTGTGCTAAATAAGCCTGCATGTAAAATTAAACTAAGCAACTCCATCATCGTCTAAACTTGAATAAGATCTTGCAGTCCCTATTATTTAGGTCGTGTGGCTAAGTTACGCATTATTGCCGTCAGTAATCATACTGCCTCTCAGAATTTAAGAGGCGCGCTTCTTGAAAGCCACTATAAGACAGCCAAAAATAAATGATATTCAAGGAATGAATATTGCAACAAAACACAAACAAAATTAAGCATACCACCAATCCGAAGTTTCATGGAGCGAAGGAACTCCAAGCAATCATTTATCTTGCTAGTTTCGAACTTTGCCAAATGAAGCGTTCCTTCAAGAACAGGTCGACTATTACCCCTTTTGGAAAAAAAGGCTATCATTTTGGGACCTTAGCTCATCATCATCATCATCTCTACAACTATCACTATATCTACAGAAATACACCAATTTGATCAAAGAACCTGTCAACCAACATATATTATTGTAGTAAGTTGTTCCTCTGAAATTTAAATTGTTGAATACCCCGAATGGAATGTGCAGTAAAGGCATCAGTGTACATGTTTCACTCCTTTCTTTTCAGTACATATGAAAAAAAAAAATATTCAAACTAGACCCAAAAGCTAAAACTCTCTTGATAACCGTTAAGCTAACTTTCAGACAATTAACTAAAATCCTATCAAAGAATTAGAAAACAAGGAAAGAAAGAAAACTGGAAGCAAAGTAGGTTTGAAGGCATAAAAAGTAATACAATTCAGCAAGCAAACCAACGAAATTCAACTCTGTAAATGGGAAGATTTAAAATCGAGTGACAAATTGGCCCAAAAGAGGGTAAAGAAAGGGAAATTCGAGAAAATTCAAGTATCAAAGGACGGAAAACAAACCTCCAATGTCGAGAGCCAAATGGGATATTTGAGTTTGGGGTTGAGAATTTTGGTTAGACGCATCGGCGAGATGATCCATTTTTATCCTTTACAATTTCGAGCTTAAGAAACCCAGAAAACAGAAAAGAAAAAAAGGGGGGGGGGGGAGCTTTTGGTCTCTGGAACTCTCTGCATCTAACCCAGCTGACTTTAAAGGGCACGATGAAAGGATGGAAAATAGAGAGTATATTTAGCAGAAGATGGGAGTATGCTGGGGAAGAGTCACAGAAACAGAAATGACAGGAATCTCACATAGAAGCATGCACTCCACAAGTGAACCTATAAATTAAAGTACAAACTCAATTGTTTAATATATGGAGCCGCACGGTGAGCATTCGAGTTTGAAATTTATAACTACGAAGTATGAGATCACCATACGTTTGGGTTACGTGTCAAAATGTCAATGTAGCATTATGGTCAAATTGCACTTTTAATTATTGTATTACACGTAAATTAGCAAAAATGCTAGGATAATGGTTTGAAAAAAATAAAATGGTTTATATGGGGGTATTGAAAGATATTTTTTTTAATATTGAGATTAATTTAAGTGGTAAGTAGTTTAATATCATTTAAGTAGATTTTGAATTTGAGATATTGTATGTAGAAAATCTTCGTTAAGAAATTTTACCCACCAAATTTAGATATCCGACTAATCGATTTAGACTAATTAAAGAAAATAAAAATAGTTTTTTTAATGCTTTACATGAACCACTTTCTTTTTCAAACCGTCATCCCCATAATTTTGTCCACGTAAATTATATATTTTATTTTTTTAATTTAATTTAATTACTTTTAATCATGTGTTTTTTTTAAATTTTAAAATCTCGATCTTAATGTGATGATAATAGTTATTTTTATCAAGCCAAACTTTATTATTAATTTTTTTACTATGTATAAATTGTAAATTTAACGTTTGATATTCACTTTGATAATTTTTAAAATTAAAAAAATAAATAGATTATAACTGATCGAATTAAAATATAAAATATATATTTATATTTTTTAAAAATTATTTATTTAATACAGATAATAAAAAAAGTACAGTAGCATGCCATAGTTGTGGCAATTCTCTTGCCACCTAATTCCAAATATATCTTTACAGTCGATGAAAATGAAATTTAATAAAAAAAATTGCATATTTCCCCCTCAAATAAATAATTGCAGTGCACGAAAGTTATTCCACCTTCCAGTAAGTTTAAAATAATATAGATTTAATGGTTTAAAATTTTTAATAATATTATATTTCTTTAAATTTATTAAAATATAGGGTAAATTATATGTTTAGTATCACAATTATCACTTTTATTTCATTTTGATCACTCAACTATTTTTTTATGATCATACCTAAGTCTATAACTTTACGTTTTGGTTTCATTTTAACTAACTACAGTTAAAAAATTAATTAATGTGATAATTTTTTTAATGATGACAGGATATTATCTTATGATGATAAGTAAATATCATTATTAATTTTTTTATTACGAGTGATTAAAATAAAACAAAAACTAAACATTAGATATAATTTAAAAAAATAATTGGATCATGGGACCAAAGCTGTTTGAACCCTTCTTCTAAAAAATTAAAGATTTTAGATATAGATAAATGCAATCAAAACAAACAGAGATTCACGTAAACTTACATCATTGACCCATTTGGGAAATAACTTTGAAATGGAGAGAGCTCCAAGAAAAATCCCATTTTTTTCTCTATCATTTGTTTCCAAATTTTTAGAATAGACCCTAGTTGAATTTACCTACAACTCAAACTCTTTCAAGCCTTACCAGATATGATCATTGATCAATCTTTACTATAATATCCGCTAAAATTGGAGTCTTTTGAGGGTTTTCCAGTAAGGAACACACCAACATTTCCAATTTATTCAAGCCTGAATCAACCCAGCAATTCTCGTCTACTTAACAAGCACAAAAAACCCAGAGCTAGTTGCAGTAAAAAAAATGAGGAAATTGTCGTTATCAACCAATGGTAAACGCTTCACCGCTTAGTTGTCTCTTAAATATCTGAATATATATATTATATTAGTGATAGTATAGCCAAAAAGAAGAAGAAGAAAAGTTGGTTGGTGGGACTGGGAACTCTCTGTTTTGCGTCATCTTCGTTTGTATATGGTTAAACTACACCAAATTCACATTATATTTCAACGTGATTTGGCTTGGTTTCTTTGGTTAAGTAATATGGTAGATTAAGGCCCCCTTTTGGTTTGACATTTATATTCCTTTTATGGGGTTTTATCAGTTGTTGAGTTGTCTGAATTAAGGGGATCGGTTTCCAGGTATGTCTGGGTTTTTTTTTATAGATTTAAAGTTGTCTTCTTTTAAGCCCCCTTGGCTTCGAAGTTAATGCTTCAGGTTTAGCATGAACCAAACAATCTCAATAGTTAAGGGATAGTTGTTATCCCCGGAGGTCCTGGATTCGAGCAATATGTCTGCAAAGGTGTTTGAGTGTTCGTTGTCAAATGTTCAAGTATCTCTCGAATAGATATTACCTTCTAGTAACAAAAAATGAAAAAGAATGTTTCAGGTTTAGAAATTCAATGCCCTAGAATCCTGGAATCTTTGATTGTTGTATGTTTAATCTCTTTACTGCTGGCAAACCATGTATTGTATGTTCTAGGCAAGAATTTGCTGGTTCTTTCCATAAATTCCAGGCTAAACACAATTGTTAATGAACAATGAATGATTCTAACATGGTATTTCTTGCAAAGATGCAGAGATTTTGATCTTATAAAGAAACTGACAGAATAATGGAGAAGAAAGTAATGGGAGAAGCAGAAGTTGAAGTGGTGCTCCCACCTTCTCCAACTTTAACTATTGGAATAGCTATCAATGGGAGCAGAGAAAGCAAGTATGTGATTAAATGGGCCTTGGAGAAATTCATTCCCGAAGGAAACATCATGTTCAAATTGTTACATGTTCGTGCGAGGATTACTGTTGTTCCTACACCGAGTAAGTCATGGTGTTACTAAAGATTGGCATATCTGCTTATGGATGCTATGTTTGATGTTAAATAGACTGAAATCATCTTAATCCTAGTGGGGAACTTGCTTCCGATTTCTCAAGTACGAGACGATGTTGCCGCGGCATATAAGAAGGAACTGGAATGGCAGGCGAATGAAATGCTTCTTCCTTATAAGAAAATATGTACTCAAAGAAAGGTATCCTTGTTTTTCTTACTGAATCTCATTGTGCATGTTTTCTGGATAAGTGAACTATGTTTGCTCAAATTCTGAATTTAGGTGGAAGCTGATGTTATAATCATTGAATCGGATGAAGTGGCGAATGCAATAGCAGAGGAGGTTTCAAAGAACACTATCACCAGACTTGTTATCGGAGCTTCGTCTCGTGGGATGTTTACAAGGTATTTTAATGCCAACATAGTTAAAAAAAAGGAAATTCCAAGACCTTGTGGGACATATATCAAGTTGTCTAGAATCTACTGATGCATTGATTTTTGTATTTTTGGAAATGGTTTGTTTCTGATTTTTCGTTTCTTCATTGTCAAGCAAGCATACCACAAATTTTCAGGTTTATCCTACGAAAAGGAGCTGAACATCAAAGAGCTGGTCTTTGCATATTTGTTTGCTTAGGTGCTCTATATTTGCAGTTTCCAACTAGCTCCACCAATAATCTTGTAAATATGATGATATCTGTAGGAAGCTTAAGAAAAATAGTTTGTCCTCGAGAATCTCAGCCCGCACTCCGAGCTTTTGTACAGTCTATGCTGTTTCAAAAGGAAAGTTGTCGTCCATCCGGCCAGCTGATTCGGAGATGAATGGAAGCATCAAAGATGATAGCAGTGAAACGAGTTTTTCCTCCAATAATTCATCAGGCTACACTTTCAGTTCACAGACAGGTGCTTATTCTCTACTAAACGATTGATACAAATTGCTCATTTGAAAATGAGGAACGATAGACATGGTAATATTTTCTTGTCCAGTTGTTGTAGAAGATGCACATTGATGACCAAGAATGCAAACAACATTCATTTCTCTTTTCTGTAATTGTAGAATTTGGCTCAGTGGCATCGTATGCTACTTTCCGTTCTGCATCCCTGTCAATGCAGAGACATCAAGCACTTTCGACTATAAATCATACAATTTTACATTCAAGAAATAGTTCTCTTGCAAGTAACCAGTTCAAATCGACTGAGTCCATCCAGTCTAGATCTGCTGGTAACAGTAACATCCATTCTAGATGCCATTCTATGGACACTGCGGCAGGGAATGGAGATATGAGCTCTCGTCCTAGCTGTGCAGAATCTAGAGAAGCAATCTGTCGAAATTCTAGTCGCAGAAGCTTGCCAACCAATCAACTATCATCGTTACCGGATCAAATTTGTACCTCAGATGTGCAGACAGATTGTTATCCGTCTGAATGTCAGGTGGGTTTGTCCTTTATTGTTCAAAAATAGGATGAGTGTTATGCATCATGTTAACCTTAAGACAAATGCGATTTTTCCAGAACATGCATAGTGCTTTATGGTTTAATATCGGAACTGAATATGACACTTGCACATATATGCAGGTAAATATCAACTTTGAGCTCGAGAACCTGAGAACCGAACTCAGACACATTCGAGAAATGTATGCCGTAGCTCAAAGTGAGACCTTTGATGCATCTCGGAAGGTTAGTTGCATAATATCAACTTTTCCTTCTTGAAACTATTTATGTAGTAACTTAATCTACTTTTTCTTTTTCCCTTGATCGTTGAAGTTTTTACATATTTGTTGCCATTTAGCGTCAATGGTCATCGTGCTTCATCATCTTCTCAGCTTTACGAACTGATTTAATTCTTTCTGTCAATACCATTTCCTCAGTTGAATTCTCTATGTGAACGTCGGCTAGAGGAAGCAATGAAGCTTAAGGAGGTAAGTTCTAAGGAGGAGAAAGCTAAAGATTTAGCTAGACAAGAGAAGGAGAAGTCTGAAGCTGCAAGAAGAGAGGCTGAGCATGTGAAGGAGTGCACCAACCGAGAGGCTTCACTGAGGCGAGAGGCAGAGATGAAAGCCTATAACGAGGCTAAAGAGAAAGAAAAGCTTGAGAATTTTCTCACAGGTCCCATCCAGCAATACCAGACGTTCGAATGGGAAGAGATTGTGTCAGCTACATCATCGTTCTCGGAAGATCTTCGAGTGGGGATGGGAGCATATGGAACTGTCTATAAATGCATATTCCACCATACAGCTGCTGCAGTGAAAGTTCTCCACTCAAAAGAAAGCAGTAGAACTAAGCAATTCCAGCAGGAGGTACAAAATTTCTTGGATTAAACCAAATCTGATGATGTGTTGCTATTGTTTCAGGAAAATATGTTGATTAAGAAGTGTTCTGACCCCATAAATTTCAACTAATTACTTGTCTTTTTTTCTCTCTTTCAGCTCGAAATCTTGAGCAAAATTCGACATCCGCATTTGCTTCTCCTTCTCGGTGCTTGTCCCGAACATGGTTGCCTAGTTTATGAGTACATGGAGAACGGTAGCTTGGAGGACAGATTGCTCCGGAAGAACAATACCCCACCAATCCCTTGGTTTGAGAGATACCAAATTGCTTGGGAAGTAGGCTCGGCTCTTGTTTTTCTCCACAACTCAAAGCCCGAACCAATTATTCATCGTGACCTGAAGCCTGCAAACATTTTACTCAATCATAACTTTGTGAGCAAGATCGGTGATGTCGGACTTTCCATGATGATAACCGCAGATTCTTGCTCTACATACACCATGTACAAGGACACGGCACCTGTTGGAACATTCTGCTATATTGATCCCGAGTATCAAAGAACCGGGTTGATATCTACGAAATCCGACATTTATGCTTTTGGGATGATAATATTGCAGTTGCTAACTGCAAAACCGGCAATGGCACTAACTCATGTGGTGGAAACAGCAATCGATAATGACAACTTAACTGGAATTCTAGACTCAGAAGCTGGGAAATGGCCTGTTGAAGAAACAAAGGAATTAGCTAGATTGGGACTGAGCTGTGCCGAGCTTCGGCGTAAAGACAGACCCGGTTTGAAAGATCAAGTACTTCCTGTTCTAGAGAGAATGAAGAAGGTTGCAGATGAGGCTCGAAAATCAATCTCCAATGTATTGGCTAAACCTCCTAACCACTTCATTTGCCCCATATTGAAGGTATGCAGATAAAATCTCTAAAATGTGACAAATAAAACACCAAGATTGTCGTCCATTGCACGTCGACATCCACTCGAAGAACATATCAACAGGAGACTTAAAGATAAATGCCATTTCACACAGTCGTAAATCCTGCAATTCCATTGTCTGATTGAAATTTGGTGTTTTTTTTCTTTCTTTGTAAACAGGATGTAATGGATGAACCATGTGTTGCAGCAGATGGATACACTTACGACCGCAAATCAATAGAGAAGTGGATCGAAACAAATGATAAATCACCAATGACAAATTTGGCTTTGCCAAATAAGAATCTGCTTCCAAATTACTCTCTTCTGTCTGCAATTGTGGAGTGGAAGTCCAGAAAACAATGATCTCCTTGCATTCTTTTCCCTACTACCAATATATATATATGCTTTCTTTCTGCAACTTGAGTTCCTCTTAAGATTTTGATGGTATTTTAGACTCTACTTGAGGGGTTTTAGGTTTATTTTAGATGGAAAAGATAGATAGGTGGGCTTGTCTGGAATAAGAAGTGCAATTGTATATCACCCATATCTGCATGTGTGTATATATCGAGAGTGGATGGATTTACTTTAGGTTTTGTTTCACTGATTTTAGAAAATGAATGAAAAACAGTTTTCGAAAATTGTTTTTTCGGTGTTCTGATGATGTTGGTCTGTTTATCTTTAGTCGATTTTATTTCAATCGAGCTTATTGGTGCTTCAATTCTGTTGGTTTTGTCTGTGTATTGTCATCTTGCATTGTATGCCATTCACTGATCATATGATGCTTTCGGAAATTTTTAAACCATCATAAATATACCAACCAAGACTGAAAAAAGAGATTAAAACTCTCAATATCTCTGTAACTTCTTCTCCATGATCAAAAGTTTTTAATATAAGAACACCGGTCATCGCTGTGGTTCATGACTTAAATCAGAAGGATAAACCGCCAGCTATTCATAAGATAAAGTTATTTTTATCAACCATATAATATAACCCAAATTCTTTAATTTTTTTTAAAAAAACACTCAATATTTTGCTCGTGCTCATCACTCATTATGTGAACACTCATATCAGTCAATGATGACCGATAGTGATGATTAACACTGATGAACAATAATCTGTATAATTAGGATTTAGTCGGATTTTGGACTTGGTAAAATAAAAAGAGAGAAAAAGAGGAAGAAAAGACAACAAGGAAGAAAGTGAGTAAAAAATTAAAAATATACATATAATTTTTAAAATTATTCGTTTTATTTATTAATATAATTTTATTAAAATGACATCATTTTAATCGTATCATCATAATAATAAATAATTTTATTTACATAATCACATCTAAATTTAAACAACACAATGTAGACAAAATAAAAACTCAATATTATAACTATATCGAGAAAAACATTTAATAAATAATTACTTAAAAAGTTTTGGGTAAAATATAGAAATGATCCCTCGATTATAGGATCTTATTTTATTGAGTCACTCGATTATTAAAGGTTACAAAATAGTCTTTTGACTATAGGACATTACTTTATTGAGTCCTAAACTATTAAAAGTTACAACATAATCACTTGACTATTTATATGTTCCAAACTCCTCTTTTTCTATTAAAATATTGACGGTAATCTGAGCGGACGTTAACATACTGACTGAGATATGTTAAAATCTGATCTTATAATCTTAAACTACTATCATATCTCAGTCAGCATATTAACGTCCAACTCAGACGACTTTTATTTTTTCTCAAAAAATGATGAGTTTGAAATATATGAATAACCAAATAATAATTTTGTAACTTTTAATAATTGATGAACTTACCAAAACGTCATATAATTAAATGATTATTTTTTAAATTCTAATAATCAAAAGACTAAAAAAAACATATTATAATCGGATACCATTTCTCAACCTTACCCAAAGTTTTCAACCCCACTCCTTATATATTTTTTAAATACACACGTTAAACTATACGGTCCATTTTATAATTAATAAAAAAATTATTCTTTAAGCACTGCACATCACAGGGTCCAATCAAAATACACCACGTCATCATCGGAGTCCACCGACCAAATGGACCCTACGTGCCTTCCCACTAAATGTACCAAAAAGTAAAACCGACGCTTCCCATTTCGTCACTATAAAGTAAACCTAATATCGCATTGGCACATTACCTTTGACATTTCATTCGAACAGCACGTTACTGTCTTCTTCTTCGAAGGTTACTGTTCTCTCTCCCAACTCCAAAGAAACGAACTTTTCCTTCTTCAATTCAACGGGTCACCATATTTTCTTTTCTCTTCGATTCTCTGTATTTCATCATGCTCTTCTTAAAACTTCTCCTCTTCTTTTCATTCTTCTCCTTCATTTTCTCTCACGACGCCATCTTCAACCCCCATCTTTTCCCCAGGCCGTTAATCATACAACACCCAGAAGATATCGAGACCCAGTTCCGAGAATTAGAAGAAGATATCAAGTTACAGTGTACTAGCTGGAGATTTTCTGTGGAAGCCAACAATTTGAGTCCTTGGAAGACCATTCCCCAGGAATGTCTGGGATATGTCAAAGACTACATGACTGGTCGTGGCTATAAAGTGGATCTCGAAAGGGTTTCCAATGAGGCTGGTGTTTACGCCAAGACCCTGCAGCTGAGTGGAGATGGCAAAGATGTTTGGATTTTTGATATTGATGAGACTTTGTTGTCCAACCTTCCTTACTACATTGAGCATGGTTATGGGTAAGCTTTGTTGTCCAATCTTCCCCAGTTTTCTTGTACTTGTTTGGTTGCTAGGAAATTGGTAACCTGTTGCATAAAGTAGGGGGGGAACGAATTTTGGTGCTTGTTTTTCTAAATCCGTGGTTTAATGCTTAATTTCTAATGTCGGGTTTCGTTGAAAAATTGCAGCTTGGAGATTTTTGATCCAATAGAATTTGATAAGTGGGTTCAAAGGGGAATGGCACCGGCAATAGAACCCAGCCTCAAACTTTATGACAAGATTTTAGATTTGGGATTCAAAATTTTCTTACTAACTGGTCGAAGTGAACAGCACAGATCGATTACGATCGAAAATTTGACGAAAGCAGGGTTTCGAACCTGGGACAAGCTTATATTAAGGTGAACATCTTACTTCTTTCAGTTGATTACTTATAGATTCTTTTAGGTGACTTGTTGGACTGCAATGACGTATCTTCATTCTGGTTTTCATGGAGTTCTTCTAATTGTTGGTACTTTGATACTAGTTTCTATCCCATGTTATGATTTGAATTTGTAGACATTTGGCTTTATGTTTATCGATCACAGGCTTCACTGCCAAAGCATGAATTCATGTTTCTTTTTAAGTTTCAGCAATGGAATCTAAGAAAAGGTTTTAATGTTGCTAAACTTGTTGGACTGCAATGGTGTTATTCATATGGAGTTGTAATTGTTGGTACTTCGATACTAGTTTCTATGCTATGTTGTGCTTTAGAATAAGTTCATGCCTTAATGCACAGAGTGAAATCATGAGAGAAATTCGGGTTTAGTTTTAGCTATCATAGGCTTCACTGTCAAGCTATGAATGCATTCTTTTTTGAGTTTCAGCGATGGAATTCAAAGTAGTTTTTATGTTTGAATGATGGTTGAAATTTCATTCTTAGCTTTGTTTTCATTTCATGAAGCAGCGTCTTCTATATTTTTGCTTCTAGGAGTGCTTTATTTATACTGCAGGCGCTGTAGTTACTGATGTTTATTGCGAACTGATATCGATCGTTATATGCAGAGACACCGAACACCATGGCAAGCTAGCAACTGTTTTTAAGTCGGAGAAAAGGAGTGAGATGGTAGAAGCAGGATATAGGATTCTAGGAAACTCTGGGGATCAATGGAGCGATCTATTGGGTGGCGCCCCCTCGATACGTTCATTCAAGTTACCGAATCCTATGTACTACATTCCCTAGCAAACCCTTTGTTAATTGTATTCAGTAACCATGCCTGAATGATTCTGGCCTACACAGAAGGAATCATAGTGTTGTAGCATGTAGGTTGTAAATACATTCAAGCCTGCAACTGTTACCATATCCAACAACTCTGTACCATAAGAGACTAGTTTGAGATTTGATTAACAAATGGAAAATGTGAATGATTGTATGTTATTATACTTTTTATGGTTTGTTTGATCTTGAAAGTCGAAAGATGACACTGTCAATTCTCCCATTGTTGTTTCCAAAACGAGTTTTGACTGAAATCATGAAACAATCGTATATGATAAAACATGACTGCTCACAATTTCCATCCGTTCAAGTTTTATAGTTAAAAAAAGAAAAATCGAATTTCATGGTGCGATGTATCAGTTTTTCTACTGGTATAATTTTTTGGGTTCGGTCAAGTTTAGGTAAAATCTTCTTCATCAGTCTGGGCATATTTGCTGTTTGGTTCCTCCGCCACCCTTCCTGATGGCAGTGTCCCGACCGGCCAATTTCGGGTCATGGCCACCATCGCCAAATCTGTTAAAACTTAAAACTAGTATTTTTTTATCAACCATAGTGTTGAGATTTTCGATGAAGTTCAATCGATCAACCGGATAATTTGCTAAGAGAGAGTGAATTATCTTTTTGAGAATAGGGAGTAAGGAGTAAAAATGCTAGGAAAAATTGCACAAGAATTTATAGTAGTTCGATTTCTCAATCAAGTCTACATCCACTATCTAAGCTCCTCAATTAGGATTTTCTAACAAATTCACTAATTTGTTCTTTCTTTTTACAGGATCAAGAGATAACATTTATAACTCCATAACTTTTCAAAGGCTAGGCTAGAACCAATCCCCTTTTACAATGTTAAAAGAAGTAAACAAGAAAACCTCTTTAAGGTGGGGTGTTTACAAGAATTAAGCTCACAAGAAACAAAACCTAAGGATATACAATTAAGCTCAAAACACAAATATTTATAAGAGAGAAAAATAAAGATTAAAAAACTTCTCTTGTGTATGAATGATTGGATAGGTGTTGATAACCTTCTTTAAGTATCCTCAACTTGATTTTATAAGTTGGAATGATTTTGTGGCTGTTTCTAGCTGTTGGGATGTTTTGGAGCCGTTAAAGATTAATTTTCTGCAAAATAAAATTGCCTAGGACAGGGAGTATTGATACTCTTTTGATGAGTACCGATACTACTTTTGTAATATTTAAATAAACTAGCCGTTGAAGACCGTTGGGCTTGACCAATATCGATATTATGCTTCATGGTATCAATAGTACATTGTAAAGTAGTATTGGTACCCCTTGAAATATCGGTACCTATTTTGCATTCTAAAATTTGAGCTATTTGAAAAATATCTGGTAGTATTGATACTACCTTGAGAGTATCGATACTTCTCTTACCTTTGGTATCGGTACCACGTGAACATTATCGGTATTATTCATGCAATATCGATACTATAAGAACAATATCAGTACTTCGTACTCAGAAAACATTTTTAAGCTTAAATTGTAGTTTAATGAACTTTGAATTATTTTTCAAAACTTTGAACAAATTCAATTAAGTCCAAAAACATTTTGTCTCAATTTGTTATATCAAAATATTATAAAACATGGTTCAGCATTCTTTCCTTTTTTTATATAACAAAACATTTGAAAAATTGTTTTTGACAAAACTTCCCATTAATAAAATATTTTATGAAAAAATAATATTTAGAAAATATTAATGGTCCCCCTTTTCATTCTTGAAATTGAATTTTTCAAACTCATATTTTTCTCCCTTTTTGTTATATAAAAAATAATTCAACTTTAAAGTTAAAAAATAACAATGGAGAGTAAGTGGTAAATTTTAGCATAAAAACCATTTGAAAAATCAAAGCTCTCCATCAATAAAAGCATTCCAAACAAAAATTTGACTTTAAAAGATAACATGTAAAAGACATTGAATTTCAACAAAGACGTACAAACATGTTACTAGTAGATGAAATTCAATATATCTAAGTCTAATAAACTTTATGTAATACCAATTGTTGAATTTAAGTGCATGTGCATAAAACTATCCAAAAGTGTTATGCATTTGAAAAATTAATATAAATTGTTAGAGAGATATCATTTGCAATAAATAACATGCATAAACATTTAAATTAATGTCAAAAATTAAAATTTGTAAAAAAACAAAGCATTTAAAACCAAAGTTGACCAAAATTCATTATGATAAACAAACATTTATGAAAAAATATTAAAATTTTAGAAAATATTCTTCACAACACTTTTTAACATACATGAGATAAAAAACGTAAATTATTTAAAATCAAAACTCATGCATGCTTAAACTAAATAAACAACCAATTATGCAAGATAATCAAAATAAGTTTAGAGGTTACCCATTCCATATCAAATGTGGCTAGAACATTTGAGTATCTTCACTTTCATCATCATTGCTCCCACACACCTACAATAAACATTTAATTGGATTTTGGTATCCAAATTGCTTTTGATCCTTGGACCTTAGTTTCAATACCCCTTGTTCCTTTAGGAATCCATACTTGTTTAATTTTAAAACATTTTCATTTATTTAAAGGACAAGTATGTTCATTGTGACCATAATAATGACAATGTGAGCATTTTGTCATTATGAAATTAGATGAATTATTTAAAATGGTTTCCTTTTCTTTTGTTAAGCATTCAAGCTTAACTTTTAAATCAAACATTATTTTTCAAAACTTTTAATTTTTTACTTTTGAAAGCTCTAAATCATTTTCCAAAATTTCATTTTGATTTTCAAAACTCATTTTTGCTTTCAAAAGAAAATCATTTTCAACTTAAAATTTTGAAATTATTTTCTTATATTTGGAGTTCATGGTCTCAAACTCCAAAAATAATTCATTGTATGCATCTTGTTGGTTATTCAAGAGCTATTAAGCACACCACCTTTGTTGGTTCTTCTTTTTTATTTCCATGTATCTCTTTGAGCTTATTCCAAAGCTCCTTGGAATTTAAACAATAAGAAACTCCTTAATAAACATCGGAACCAAATGCACAAAACAACATGTTCATGGCCTTGGCTTTTTGTTGAGATTTATTCCGTTCTTGGACATCCACTCCTTTGTCTTCTTTTTTGGAGAAGATTAGTCGTTTTCGATCATCTCTCATGCATCAAGATCATTGGATTGCATGAATAGCTTCATTAATTTCTTCCAATGACGGTAGTTGACTCAATTGAAGTATGGAGGCTTGTCGATCTGTTGGGATTCTTCCATGTGGAACGAATCGAAGGTGGAAGTCATCTTCTCAGTTGTGTCGAAAATGGTTATAGTTTCTTCAAGGATCATCCCAAGGTTGTTGTACATTCTAATTATTCAAGTTCTGATACAAATTGTTGGTATTTTCGATGAAGTTCAATCGATCAACTAGATAATTTGTCAAGAGGGGTGAATTGGTTTTTTGAGAATAGGGAGTAAGGAGTAAAAAGGATAAGAAAAATTGCACAAGGATTTATAGTGGTTCGACTTCTCAACCAAGTATACATCCACTATCTAAGCCCCTCACTTAGGATTTTCTAACAAATTCACTAATTTGTTCTTTCTTTTTACAGGATCAAGAGATAACATTTACAACTTCCTAGTTTGTCAAAGGCTAAGCTAGAAACAATCCCCTTTTACAATGTTAAAAGAAGTAAACAAGAAAACCTCTCTAAGGAATGATGTTTACAAGATTTAAGCTCACGAGAAACTAAATATAAGGATATACAATTAAGCTCAAAACACAAATATTTAAAAGAGAAAGAAAAATAAAGATTAAAAAAACTTTTCTCTTGTGTATGGATGCTTGGATAGGTGTTGGTAACCTTCTTCAAGTGTCATCAACTTGTTTTATAAGTTGCAATGAATTTGTAGCCATTTTTAGTCGTTGGAGATTAATTTTCTGCAAAATAAAACTACCAAGGACAGGGAGTATCAGTACTCCTTTGACGAGTATCAGTACTATCTTTGTAATATTTAAATAAACTAGCCGTTGAATATCATTGGGTTGACCAATATCGATACTATGCTTCATGGCATCGATACTACAGTGTAAAGTAGTATTAATACCCCTTGAAGTATCGGTACCTATTTTGCATTCTGAAATTTGAGCTATTTGAAAAATACATGGTACTATCAATACTACCTTGAGAGTATCTATACTTCTCTTACCTTTGATATCGGTATCACATTAATAGTATCAGTATTGTTCATGCAGTATCGATACTGTAAGAATACTTCGTACCCAAAAATAATTTTAAGCTCAAATTGTAGTTTAATGTACTTTGAATTATTTTTTAGAACTTTTGAAAACTTTGTACAAATTCGATCAAGTCCAAAATCATTTTGCCTCAATTTATTATATCAAAATATTATAAAACATGGTTCAACACATAGGATGTAAATTAATACTAACCATAACTCTAATGATATTTACTAGGTATAAATATTTACATGTTCGTGCATTTTATATTATGAAATCATTGGTTCAATATATATATATATTCTTAGGAAAATGGGACAGTTGAGCCAAATTTACATGAAAAAAGCCAAGGAAATGGGTAGAACAAGATAGTTGAAGCTTCACATGGCAAAATTTCCAGAAAACACAAAGTTCAAATCTTCCCTGCCCCTGGAAACGCAGCAAGCTGCGAACTTTGTTTGTGGAAACAATAGAAGAATCCAAGTTTTGTGGAAATGAAAAATATCCACATGTTAAAGCTGCTTCTAGCATTATCTTCAACAGCTCTCTTCCTCATTCTCGCGCTTGTCATCTTCCTTTGGCGCCAGAGGACATTAAGAAATGCCCAGCTTGGCGGTGACACAGAAAGAGAAGAGCAGAAGCTAGAAGATGAATCGGCAATGGAGGAGTTGGTCACATTTAGCGGTGGAGAAGATCTCACCGTCTTCGGTGTACTTTTGGATCAAGTTTACCATCCATATCTCGCAGAATCATAGCTTGACCAAGACATGCTTGAAGTTTCAGCAGCTGAGGGCTACAAAAAGCTCCTGAGCTCATCAAAATGAGGCATGCTTTTCCTTCCCCTTCTCAAGGTGTATTGGGATGAAAGCTAAGTGATCATCGGCTACAATAGGTGATGTATCGTCGGCCTCCATGATCTTCAGGTCAGTTTCCGACCATCCGAAGAACTACATAATGGGCCATATGAAGCATATATAATGCATTAAGTTCAGATTGCTGTTCTAATCTGATATAATCATGCACTGATGGCGTTGTTATTTAGTTGCAAAAAATAAACATAGGGCTTTACTTCCATAAATGATCCTTCATTTATGACCTATTGGTGACCAAATAGGTAGTTTACCCTTTATTTTATGAACTATTGGTTTTTCAGTATAGCGAATATTTGTTTTAAAAAAAACAATGTTCCAAATTATTTTGATAAATCTAATTTCTGCAAAACAAACAGAACATTAGATATTAAAGGTATTACAATCAAACTTTGTTGCATAATTTGCAATTAATGCTACAAGAATACATCAATTTCCGGTTCCATAACTCCTAGTCTCCTATTGCTGTATGAAATAAATAAATCCCGGCCAACAGTTACTTTGACTGTGATATGAAGCCCTTTACAAGCATATCAGTTTAGCATTAGCCACCATTCTTTCTTCCTTTCTTTCAAGTATTTCCCAGGAAAATTGAATTCTCACATCAGCTTCATCCATCTTTCTACCTTTTTGTTGGATCCGGTGACCTACCTTCCAATGGGGTGAACATGAAGTTCCCAGAAAACATGGCTGATTTATCTGTGCATATTAGATGCCAAACTTCAGGTTAAGCTTAAAGACATCAAATTTGACAGCCTCTAAAGGATTCAACATCCGAAACTCCATCTGTTGGACTGACAAAACATAACCTACCCGTTAATGAGAGGCAACTGACTTCACGACGAACATACCTTTCCATTGCCTGCAGAGAAAACCGTAAAGAATCAGTCATACTGTGACCATTCAACTCAACACAAACTTATGGTGTTCATAGTTTACTTCAGGTTATGAGCACAGTCAATCTTCTCCAACAGGATGAAAGATGGATACATCGGCATTTCAAAATGGAACTAAAGAAAATACCTCAGAAACAAAATGAACCAATACCACATCCTACATGATGGTTAATTATAATGGCATAACAAAAGATAAGAACATGCCTGGACTGTACGTAATGCAGCACCAATTGGCTTGGATGTACCATCATCAGAAAAGATATTCCTGAAAATTTTCAAACCAATGCTAAACATGAGCAAGTTCAGTAGTGCCCAAGATGTCTATCAAATGATGATGCACATAACATCGGGTTTAATTAGCCTCAGATGACGGCTACAACTTTATAGAACCAGCCAAACTTACCCACGAGGCCAAGTTTATTTCTTGCATCACAATTCCATGGCCATCATACAGAGTTTAGGCAACAGACAAATCTCCGAGTTTCAGTATAACAAATTACATCCAATTAAAATAGATCCAAATGGAGGCGTACCAATTATTAAACAAAACTGATCTTCCTTGCAAGGGCATAGAATAGATAGAGAAGTTGCAATGACGACAACCACGAATGCCTGGAACAAGTTCTGAAGAAGTACTTACCTCCATATAACCTCTGTTAGCTCCTCCTTTGTAGCCTCTGGCAGCAATGCAGCGTCATAAGCAACAATATTTCCATAGAAAATCTTCTCCAATTCTTTCATCCATTTCGTCAATAGTAAGTTCACCTTCCATTTCAGTGATAATAGACTAGCTTCAAAGAACTATTCGAGCTTTCGCATTCTCATTTGCAAAATAGTAACAGTTACTATGGTATCATCCTAATTTATCCATAGGAGCATATCTACTTACCCCAGCTTTAGATACTCTGAGCTCAACATCATGATTGTAAATCTCGTAGACGTATTGTCCTAGTTCAACACCCTCTTTTCCTTCAGTTTTCAACCGGCGTAAACAGAGCCACATGTGAAGTACAAGCAGAGAAAACGTCGTCTGGAAGGTCTTCTCCAAGTTAAATACTGCAACAAAGACACCAATCATGAAGACAACGGTATTGCCAACAAAGGAAAATCTGAAATATAACGAATAGAGAGACCTTCAAATATGGCAGGTTTATCAACTTGGGAAAGGACACGCCTATATATCACATTTGCCCCTCGAATCGACTTGCTTTGTTTACTATAGAAAAGCATCATCTTGAGAACAATACGCTTAAGGCCTTCATACTTTGGGTCTTCCACTCTAAGGGGAGAGTCTGGGGGTAAAGCCAATGAACAAGGCTTAGACCTAAACATTTTATCCAAATTTACCTACTCAAAATAAAAAGAACCCAGATCATCAGCAACCCCAAAACAAGATCTTGCAAAGATATATTCGTATAAATTCTTTTTTTTTTTTGAAGGAAAAGAAATTACCGACGGTTTGGTAGGAAAAGATTTGTCGATGGAATCAACAGCTGAATAGCTTCGGCGACGAATCGTACTAAAATCATTGCCTGACTCAAAGGAGCTGAATGATCGTAGCTTTGAGAGATGGGTTAAAGCTCTGCTCCATCGAGACAGCATCGTTTTTGACAAACGAAATCAGATTCTTTTTACAATCAAATGGAGAAGTGATGGAATTGCTTCAGCTTTCAAAGCCCTAAACCCTGCTTCAACCAACTCTCCAGGTCCAAAAACGATACAAGGGAAAGTCAGTAAATCGTGCGGTGCATATTAACTGATCAAACAATCTCGATACCAACTAGGGATGGCAAAAAAAATTTGAATCCGACGGGGAAAATCGAAAATCGAATTAAATAGAGATGGGAAAAATCGTTTATGCTAAACGGGGACGAGATGGGGAAAAACCGTTTATGTTAAACAGGGACGCAACGGGGACGGGTTTAGTAATTCCCGCCCCAATTACTCGATTACCCGGCCCGATAAATATTACAAATAATTATTATATATATATATATATAATATTAATAAATTTAATTTAAATTGAAATATATATATAATATTTATATATTTAATTTAAATATATATACCCGGCACGATACCCGACCCGATACCTGTTTAAATAACCGTTTATGCTAAACGGAGATACCCATTTCCCCACGGTTTTTCCTGATTACCCGATGGAGATCCCCGTTTAAACCCCGTGATTTTTTAAGCGGAAATGGGTACGGATTTTTTAAACGGAGACGGGAGACCAATACCCGGCCTGAACCCGGCCCGTTCCCTAATACCAACATCAGATTTATCTACGTCACCTTCAAAAATTATACAACTATTTTAGAAAAATTAACTTTATTTTCTTATACTTTTAAATTTTATTATTAATAAAATTATATTTAAAAATAATTATACAAATAATTTCTTAATATATATTTTATAAAAAAATAATTATAACCAAAATTTAAAAATTAACTATAAAAAGGAATTAAAATCATAAACACTTTACTATGTCGGAGGGAATTGTAATAAATCGGGTTCATAAATAAAATGTTAAAAATGAAAATCGATAATTTAAACTAAAAAAATATTCAAATGATAAATGAAATTGTATTTAAATTTATTAATCAGATGTTTAAAATAAGGTTTTCTAAAGTATTGGAATAAAATTTATTAACTTCGATTGATTTTGGGGTAAAATATACAAATAGTCCCTCAACTATAAAGTATTATTTTTTTAGTTTCTAAACTATTGAAAGTTATAAAATGGTTAACCGATTATTCATATGTTCCAAATTCATATTTTTCGCTAAAAAATTGAAGGTAATCTGAACTGAACACTAATATGTTGATTAGGATATGATAAAATCTAATCCCAAAATCGTTTGAGTTGTATTTTATCGATTGACTCTTCGTTTACATTATATTGTAGAGTCAGTGTTCAAAATATTATATCGTCGATCCATTGTTTGAAAGCAACAGTGGTACCAGTAGGCATCATTAAAATATAATATTATCATATCTTAATCAACAAGTTATTGTCCAACTCAGACGACTATCAAGTTTATTATTAGTGTAAGAATTAAAACGAATATAGGACATAATTGCCAAAAAGGAAATACATTAGAATAAGACTGTTGTCAATTTTTTTTTATCTAAACAAAACTCAAAACAATATTATTAGTTGAAATTACAATAAACCGCATTGACCAAACAAATTTAGTTTCGCATTAAATTCTTTCACCTTGAAATGATTTAATAAAAATATGAGACTTCTGTAATGAATTCAGGAAAAAATTATAGACCCGTTTAAAGTGCTGTGTGCATTGGAATATATCCAGATTTATGGTCGCAAGCAGATATGGATCCAGATGCATTAAAAATTTTAAATTCCTTTTTATATTTTAAATATTTTTCTTATATTTTATATAAACTACGCTGAAATTTTACACCCTTAAATTTTTAATATAATTCCTTTAAGTTTAGCTTGATATAAATTCCTAGTCGGTCCCTGTAAGCAAACATTTCCTTTCCACGAACAAAATTATACTTGTTACAAAAATAAAAAACCATAATTATTCATACCCGGTACGAGCAAAAGGGCAGCTAAATCATTAAAACAAGTTAGTTAAGAGTGGGTATTTATCCTACAAAAATTTAGCCTTAAGCCTCTGGATGTCTTCAGAGGTATTCACCAAGGCTTTCGCCACTCATGCTCTCCATCTCCTTCACAATGTCTTGAGCCAACGATTTCACAGGCAGCTCCATATCCTCCAGCAATTCACCCAGGAACGGGATGGTCTCCGGCAGCAGCACCAAGTATTCTTCTTTTAAATTATCCAGAAATTGTTTCACTATTCTCAACCCCAACACTCGAGCACGTATCTTCTCGCTCCGCGTTTGCATCAACACCTGCAGTATTTTTATACCATACACAAGAAGAAACAAATGCATTATGAAAACTTGGCAGCTAATCTAAAGATGGTATATGCAAGTTTGGCAAATTAGGGTCAGAGCTTGATGCAATCATCAAAAAGACGACAATTTCATGCTCAAAAAGGGAAAAAGAAACCCACCTCGTGGTTCAGAGGCTTCCATAGTAGGTCAGTTCCAGCAGTGACGGCCATCTGACCTATACAAATAACTAACAAGTCATCTACTTCCTTCACAGACGGTGCATCTGGATGCTCTTCGATAGAAGTCGGTGGCTCTATGATAAGCTGAGAAACAACGGGTTTCAATAAAACCTGCATATGAATCCAGGAACGTTTCATCAGTTTAAAGCAATCAGAAACAGGATAAGTTATACATGATCCAAATGAATTATGGTAGTATTCATTCAACAGCCATTTCTTGCTCATAGTTTCTAAATAAGATGCGACACAACAGAACCTTTAATAACAAGTAGAGAGCCCCTTCATGGTTTCTGGTTAACATGATGGACTGATCCACAAATAGACAAAGGGCAACATATACAAGACAAAGGAATTGTAGGCATCTGAACAGTAAAATTATTGGGATTATCACAAAACCACTTCACTCACTGAGCTATACTCCGAATGAAGCCATGGTATGCAATAAAGGCAACATCGTTATTTGGTGTACTCAAAGACACACCTAGATGTGAGATCAAAAAACATATACATACACATGTATCTTCCAATTTAATAAATATAATGTAAATTTAATTAGAAAAGACTCCATGCACTATTAAAACTGCAATTAGAAAATAAGATTCACTGACCTGAAAATTTGATGAGTCCAGAAATTTCTGCCTTCCAGTGTCATGGAGAAAACATTTATGTAGTGATGATAAGATCAGCGCCCTAAGATGCCAGCTTTTATGTGACAAGATGCTGTTTCCGAGATTCCCATCCCCCTGGACCTTGGCTTTCTTTTTCTTCCGAACTAAACTAGAAGATGTAAAATCTGCAGAATCACTAAGCAACTGTACACAACCCTTGACCAAGTACTTGAAGTAGGGGACAAACAGAGACCTGCATTTGGAAGGACAGCATAAGATTCTACACCAGTTGATAAATGAATAATAACCAAATTCTTAAAACAAACGAATTGTTCTAAACAACAGAGAACTACTATTGCAGCATTTTTATGATAAAAGTTCTATGTATGATACCATAGAACAGCACCTCAATCAAATTTGTATAACTGATAAATTTGTGCATCACTTGTCACAGTGAAAATGTTGGATTAATCTAGGACCAGAAACCTTCAGTATACAAAGTATAGATAAACAAGCTATATGACAAAAAGGAATTCAAAGGGAAATTTTAGTATCTGAATGACGGAGATGAAGCCGAACCACACACCACTAAGAAGAGAAAATACCAGGCTGACCATCACTCTGAAACAATACATATATGTATATATAATAAACTTTTGAAAGAATTACTGACCTATGATTCTCCAAAAGTTTATTAACCAGGCTATAGAATGATATAGCCCTATCAATATTACCGGTTCCACTACCAGCAACATCTTGAAACTCTGCCTCAGCCCACTCAACACTCTTGGCAAAAAGAGGTTTAAACATATTCTCGGTAAGTTTCATTGTAAGTGATACTATTGCATCGATGACACTTTTTTCAACAACATTGATAGTTTGAATTGTAACAGGCTGCCGCCTACGAAGATCAAGACCAATCATGCACTGGTCAAAAATCTTTGCATAGGAACCACTAACAGTTGGCCTGTCCATTTTACTAACTAGGTCTGCTAACATTTGGAAAGCAATCACCAAGCTTGAGTCTCCAGATTTAACAGCACCCGAGTATATCTTTAGCAAAGGCTGAAGAGTAAGTCGAACCTGGCAACAAAATCAGAAGATATATAACAAGGATTAGCTGACAGTATAATTGAAAATTTACAGATGGGGAGAGGGAAAACAAAAGAGTATAAAATAATAACAATGGAAGACTTACAGGGATTTTATCAGTCAGGAGCTTTCGCACTAAATCAGCTCTTGTTTTCAGCTTTAGATCTGATGCCGACACATACGCAGGATGAAGTACCATGAGTTCTATGAGATCTCCAAGATATGGGTTTAAAAATCCACCAAGCTTCTCAACAACCGCCTCCAAAGTGACAAGAATAGAGAGCAAAATGGAAGTACATTCAGCAATTCCGCTTTTTAAATTAGAACCCTCAGAAATTTCACGGGACTTCTTTATAACATTTTCCATCATACAAGGAAGCTCAGCCAGTGCCTTTAGCCCAAGAACATTAACCAATGTACCAGTTGTTTTAAGGCAGCTGGAAGAGACAGCCATATTTTCTGAACTAATTCCTTTTGTAACTGATGCAAGGCACATGCCAAAGACTGAATGATTAGAAGAAAACCTCTGTGCCAGAATATCCAGTGTTGAAAGTGCAGCCAGTTTCAATGAATCATTTGATTCATCTATAGAACCATCAACTATCAGAACAATTTCTGCACACATCTTCTGAAAAGATTTGAGTGAAATATCATCCAAATGGAGCTCATTGCTCTTTGAATTTGGATCCAGTTCTCTTTTCTCCTTGCGTTTTGACTTAACAGAGACATGCTCCTTCGCTGTTTCACATAATATCTCAAGGGCCTGTTTGCAAGTACAATTTTATTGGTTATACAATAAGGTCGTCATTAAGGATCTAGAACAGTATAAAGATGACCAGCAACAACCAGCATTTTGCTATAGACCAACACAGTGACATTCAAATTTTGCATTTTTTCCCTTATAAAATAAAAAACTTCAACCTCATGATGGAAGAAATCTCAGTCCCAAAAATCTCAATCCCCAAATATAATGGAAACGGAAAAATACCAAGACTAAGTAGCCATATCTACCTTTTTTCGGACAGTGATATCTGCATTGCCAAGTAATTTGGTGATGTATTCAAAGCAAGTGTTAGGCATCATACTCATTGTAATTGTCTTCAAAATGGCTTGCACACATGCCTTAAATTCTTTCCAACTTGTAACTGAAATGCCTATTTTCTTTCTTCTATTGTCAACAACTTGTAAGAGAAAGACAACCTGCTCTACAAGTTCTCCAAGTTTTCTCTGCAATAAGCAAAACAACATTCATATCCCTATAATGCTTCTGACAACATTAAGAATAAAATGAGAATCAGAAAAACAGATAGAACCTTAGTCAGGCAAACAAGTTGCAGAAAAGCTTAAAATGATGATAGTTTTTAGATTGAGAATAACAATAATAATCATAGATCAGAAATGGTTACACTCAAATTGAAAGTTGAAAGAAGCAAAGATAGGGAGACTAAAGGAAGCCTAAATGCTAGTTAGGAAAAAACTGAGAGAAGCTCCTCCTCTCTAAAAATCAGGTGTTTTAGATAAGTTTTTCTGTTTTATTCCTTTTCATTTCTCTTGATGGCGAGTAAGGCGAGAGTTCCTGTTAGGAAAAATTGTGACAGTAATCATTTTCAACATTTCTGAGAGTTTTCATTACCAAGGTCTTTGGTTATTTTTTGATAAATATGGCGAGGTGGTTGATTCTTTCATCCCTAATAAAAGAAGCAAGGGAGGAAGTAGGTTTGGTTTTGTTCGTTTCACCAGACTGGAGGACGCGAGGAAGGCTATCAACTGTGTTGATAGTTCTTGGATTCAAGGTAACAAAGTTAGAGTTTTCATGGCGAGATATCATCCTCGTGATGTTTTCTGGAGGAAGAAGTTTTCTGGTCCATATCCAGTCGAGGGCAAGAGTGTGGTGAAGGATGTTAGTCATACGGAGGCTCCCTTTGTTGGTTCTGTTGACGAGAGTAAGCTTTCAACTCTCAAAAACAGCTTGGTAGAATGGTGCAGAATTTTTATTAAGTGGGTAGAGTCGTCTTCGTTGGAAGAGGCAGTCGCATCCCCGTTATCCAAGGTGGGGGAGCTCGTTGGTGTCTCTCCAGTTAAGTTTCCCGAGCTGGAGGTGGGTGCTGAAGAAGCAGGAAGATCCGTGCACTCTTCGGAGGTGCAATCGGCCGAGAGGTGTTCTGAGAAAGAAGAAAAAAAATTCTGCTGTTTGGGGACTACTGCTAGAGGCAGCTTCTTGTCGGGTGAGGGAATGGAGGACAGGAACATAGGCGAGGAATTGATGATGGGTCCAAGGAGTGCCGTTGTGGGTCAAGGGATGGTTCTTTCGCAACTTGAGGAAGTGAGGGAACACGAGACATTGCTGGTGCACGCAGAGAGAGAAGCAATGGATGTCTTTAAGGACAGTTGCTTGCTTGCACATGGTTTTGAGGGGTGTAAGGATTATTTAATTAATTTTCCAATCCTAGATGGTCACTTAGTGTCAAGGGAATTGGAAGATGTGAGCCTAAAGGATAAAGAGGATTTGTTGGTTCACGTGGAAAGGGAGAAAGAAGATGCCTATAGGAAAAGTAGTGAGCCTGCATGTGCTTTTGTGGGCTCGAAAGATTATTATAATGATTTCCCCATGTTGGATGGTCGGGTTGAGTCAAGGGTGGTGGAGGATGGGATTCAAGATGGCCTTTCTTACAACTGCGCATACATAAATCCAAAGGGTAACGCAAGGCAGTTCATGAGACCTAAGGAGGGTTTTGGCAACAAATATATATCTGATCAATTTTTTCAAGAGAATTTTACAGCTCCCAAAAGAAAGTATAGGGGTTACCGAAGCAAGAGACATCAGAGTAAGGTGCAGTGGGAGGAAGAGGTGTCTGTTTTTTATGGCAGATTCAAATATAATTCTGACTTTCCAGCATTGGGGCAGTCTCAACAGAAGGATGCGATCGATTCCTTGCATTTTGGGAAAGAATTGGGTTGTGAGTCTAATGGCTCAGTAGTGTATCTGATTTCGGAAGACTATGGCGGGGGGAAGGAGTAGAAGTTTCAGGTGATCTGCATCGTGCTTATTGTTTGGAGCTGGAAGTTCGGATGGTTTTAGCTGACAAGACGAGTTAATGTGGTGGAAAGGCGGCCATGTGCGTGTTTTTTTGTATTCTTATCATGAGAAAGCTAAGTGGCTTTTGAGTTAGAAGTTGGCTTCTATGGTTTTAGTCAACTGTTACCCTTGGCTTTTATTATGGTTGTTTTGTTTTGTTTGGGCGTCTATCGGGCCACGTTTAGGCTTTGAGATTGACCAGTCTGTTTTTTAGGCTGTTGTTGTTGCTTTGTTGGATTAGGCTGGTTTTGGTAGGATTGTTTGAGGTTGTTTTTGGTGTTTTGTTTATATTGGGGGTGGCTCCGTGGTTGTATCGTGTATTTTCTATGGTTAATGAAATCTTAAGGCACTCTTTTCCTCCTCCCGCTGATTAAGGAGCTTTTCTATAAACTCCTTTAATCATGAAGGGGTTTTTTAATGAGGCCTTCAATTCCTATAAAAAAAAAAAAAGAAATGGTTACACTCACATTAATAAAACAAAGCATCCTAGGTCAAGTCATCTACAAACATAAGCAAAACCTAACCAACTAATTGTGTAAAAGGATTATTGCTGACGAGACTTTTTCTGTCACTGAATAATTGAAAAGTGGGTTTTTAAAAAAATGATCCTCACTCATGATACAAGTACAAACCAACCAACCTACTTGAGTTAATTGACCTCAACTGGGTTAATACTTGGCTTAACTCGATCGCAATTGAGCCAAGCTTGAGGTCAAGTGGCTCAATTAACAAGTATTTAATACTCGACTGGAAGTTGAATGTTAGTGAGATTATGTATCTTCTTCGTTGTGTTGAGCCTGAGCCTAGCATTGTACCAGTTCAAATCAATATTCCCCTATTGCAGTCTATCCACAACTTTTACGCAATTAGATACATAGAATTTTTGAATTAGGTAATATATCGTTACAAATGCACGTGTACAAAATACCTGGTTGAAACTCTGGGCTTGATAACTGCAATATATTGGCCAACTATAAAGCATGAGAAGTTCTAAAATGAATTCCTACCTGGATGCTATCTGAATTCTCCCTTGATTCAAGCTTCAACGCAAATTCTGGGTCTTGCAATTTGTGTAAAACAAAATCCATGGTGAACACCAATTGCATAAACAGTTCTTGAGAGAGATCATCCGATCTCATTAATTGTAGAACCTTTAATAGAGACGGAAGCCAAATCAGGCATGAGTACTGCCCACATATTTGTATGGAAAAGGAATACTCCCAGTCTCGGTGTGCAGAATACAACAAACTCTCTGAAGTGTATGTTTGTGTGAGGCAAGATAGTCCTTTTCTTGAAACTAATGAACGGAAAAGGAGGACAAGCAATGAAGCCAAATTATCACTCTCCCCAAGAATCCTGCACAAGACAAAGTTAATCCAAGCAAACACTGAAAAGCCCAACTAGAATAATCAAGTTCCAATTCTAGAAGATACCTCAATAGGAACAAAACAATTGACAGCCTCCTATGCTCAGTAATTTCAGGCAATATATTTATGAAAATCTGAACAAGCCAAGTGGGAGTATTTAGTAACAGCCACATCCAGATATAAATTAGGAATGAAAATATTCAAGATAAACTTATAAAGTTACCTGAAGCAATTCTTCTGTATTGTTGGTCTTAGACAGCCAACATGGAACAACAGTAGATATAAGATCTTCAAATACATGTTGAGAATGGCTATCAATCTGTAGGTAGATGTTAAGAACAGAGTCATTAATAAATAAACTATCACTGCAGAATGCAAATAAGATTTTGAAAATTTTGCAATATTTCATATTCAAAAGAAGATGAGGTTTAAATTGATATAGGGAGAAAAAACAATGTTTTGCGTTTAAGGATTGTCCAGGATTTGTTCTAAAAGTTGATAAAAATATACCACATTTTCAATGAGATTTTTTTTTTATATAGAAGTTGGAGGTCTCATTAAAAACTCCATTCGTATTCGTTCAATGAGAAATTTGAATAACTGGATAAAGTCTAGTAAATAAAAAGCCAGCAGATAGTTTGACAAACCTGTGAGACTGCTGATTCTCCAATAGCCGTAAGTATATCCAATATGTGCTCCAATATTCTATTAGGAACTAACTTAGCCACTGTGGATAACAGTGTAAAAACATGATTACGGGTTGCTCCATCCTTTGTCAAGCTAGCACAATCAACCAGCAGTTTGATATCAATTTCATCTACTATGCCATCCTGCAATGACATAATTGTTATCTTTTTTTTTTTTGATAGGAATTGAAGGCCTCGTTAAAAACCCCCTTCTTGATTAAAGGAGCTTGTAGAGAAGCTCCTTAATCAGCGGAAGAAGGAAAAGAGTGCCTAAAGATTTCATTAACCAAAAGAAATTACATAAGATACAACCAGATAAACACCCCCAACATAACCAAAAAACCAAAAAAGAACAGATGACATAATTGTTATCTAAAAATCAATAAAGGGAAAAGGAACAAATAAAGGGGAACCAGAAGTAGTGGCATGTTGTACACCATTTTCAACTGCAAAACAGGAGGCATACCTTAAGGGGACTATTTTCATTCATGGATGAATTGAAAATATCATCCAGAACTAACAATAATGTTTGCTGTATGTAGAAAATTGCAGTAGACTTCAACTGAGGAACACCAGAAGTTTGTAACCATCTTTCATCTTGAGTGGGAACATCACGTATCCATTCATCAGAGAAAGCTTTCCCAAGAAGCTTAAATAAGGGGCCAACAATAAACTGCCTAAAACATCAAATAAATACAATTATTTTGAGGGAGAATATCTAGACTTGATTGGAAATGGCAAAGCTTCAATGGTTAAACAAATATCAAAGAAATCCAGAACCAGAAACACATTGATCAGATATAAAGGTATCAGTTATACATCCATACCTGTTTGATATATCTTTCTTCAGAAGCAACACATCAAGAAGGGAGCACAGAAAATAGACAGTTTGTTCTCCAGTAGAAACTAAATCATAACCAGACTTTGGATTCGCAGCTGATTTCTTTTTCTTCTTTCCATGAGCAGAGACAATTACGAGTGTATCCTCCTTCAACACAAGATCAAGCATCTCACCTACTGTAGATGAAGCAATCTATGACATCCAGAAGAAAGCAGTTGATTATTACAGTTGCCTTCGTACGACAAAAAGGATCTCCAAGAGGGACTTATTGTTTAACATAGAAGCTATACATGAAGGAAATATAATAAATTTATCACAATTCACAAATTGACCTGGTGTCATGAAAAGTTCCAAGTTACATGATATTTTAACCAGACCAACTTCAAACAACTAAAAAACACATTCAGGTGCATTTGGTCCTTTATCATTGTACTAATGATGCAAAGTGCAAACCATTGGATGCCATTCAAAACCATTGGATTGCTCGTCTGCAATGGAATGGATTCAGTCCCCGACTCTGGCACCTATTTTTTTCTCGCCTATTGTTTATCAGATTTCGAGTCTTATCTGTGGAAAGGTTCATTCAGTAAGGTTGATTCCAAGGGAGTGTAACGGAGAGGCAGATAGCTTAGCAAAGAAAGGGATAGGTTGATTGTAAGGGTCTATTTGTGGTTTTCTTGACCAAGTGTGTAGGTTTTTATGTTTGGGAGGAGGAGTGTTCAAGTCTTATGTCAAGAAATTTAGTGCTATTTTTAACTTTTATGTAATGTTCAATATTAATAAAAGTTCCAAGGCACTCTTTTCCTCCTTCCTATGATTAACGACCTTTCTTCAAGGTCTTTAATTTAAGAAGGGGGGTTTTAACGAGGCCTTTCATTCCTATAAAAAATAAATAAATTCATCAGATGCAAAATTTAATACTATTTAGTCCTACTTTTCTTCAACAACTTCAAGATCAACCAAATGTGAACTTATTATCTTGGCAGAGTAAATATACTGGTTGTAACTATATGAAGATTCAAGAAGTATTTTTATGATTCATCAAGAGAGAAAGGAAAGTGAAACGCAAAGAGAAGAGAGAAGAACAAACAGTTAAACGCAGCAATGCATCTCTGGCTGCACTCTGAATATCACCATTATTGTTGCGAAACAAAAGTACTAGTTGTCGGAACATATGACCCTGACAGAACAAATGAAAGAAAATTAATTAAAAACCATTCACTCAAGATGAACTTTACATTTTAGGTTTATTTTGAGATGATCAACAACAACCAGCAATCATCACACAAACAGATTGATAATAAACATCCATCCTATGTACAGATGACACCCATCAACTCTATAAATAAATAAATCATCAACCACAACCATCCACCCTAGGTAGACACAATGAACTCAGAACATAAGATAGGTGCCTACTATTTTCACCTCAGAGAAAAAACAGTCTTGCCATACAGGATCAGTTATTAATTAATTGCACAAAGAGATTGTCAATGGTTTTTATATGAGAAACTTTTTCAAGAAGGATCCGGCGAGCCCCAGGTTCAGTTTATCAATCTAACATCTGCCAAAACAATTCCACTTACATAATACAATCTGATGCTCGTCAGCTTATGGCACAAGAACATATATATTTGTCTTCTTCCATTTAAAGTATCATTTTTCAATATATCAAGTAGGTAAAACATTGAAATTTAAAGTAACCCGTCCCATAAAATGTGCTAGAAGTTGATAATAATAACCTTTGCCTCATTTGTCAAGCCACTGTAGAATTGACTGTTGAGCTTCCGTAAAATAGTAACACAGGGTTCTACAATGGCAGGGTCTTCTGGAGACTTAGAATCCAACTGAAACAAGAAAAATAAAAGCTTAGAATTATGTCCCAATATCCAAGTACATAGACACAAGTTCGAGGAGGTTCATACTTGCAATGCCTTGAATACATGTTCAGAAAACTGTCCACTGGGAGATGCTGAGGGCATAAAACACATCTAGGACAAGCAGAGGACAAAATCATCATCAAACATCCATGATAATAATACTTAAATTCAATGATGAAAGAACGGAGAAGAATGCTTATCTAAGAGTCATATAAAAAGAACAACTAAAACCCTTACCTCCAAAAGCAAGCACAGGATTCTAATTTCAGTTTCTGAAAATTTGTGTGATGAGTTTTCTTGGTTAAAATAGCATTGGCTTCGCTTTCTAAGAAGCAGAGACAATAATGACTCAACCTCTTTAACATGAAGAATCACATTGCCTAATCCTTGGAGCAATGATAAAACCTTCAGCTGCCAACAAGATCAAGCCAGTCAAAAAATTTCAAGTCATTATCACTCTTTACATATGAAAATAACAATAATTCATGGGAGAATAGATCTTCCTCTTAAACAGGAAGGGAACAAAGGAAACAGCTGAAAAGGCAAACCTTTCCAGATTCGGGATGATTTAGAGCAGTGCTCAATATGAAAGCAAGAATCTTCTCCTTGGTAGATTGATTAAATCTGAAATTGAATGTGGAAACATGTTAATATCAACGTTAAAAACAACACATCATGGATGGCACAGAACAATTTAGCTAAAGAAGACAGAAACTCAATTTCATATATCATAATATTATTCTACCAGATTTATTAAATATACAAGATGCAACTTCATATGGAAATTGAATATTGCACTTATAATGTAAACCGTTAACTCCATTGCCAAGAAAAGGCTAAAGGTATATCATTTTTAGCAATAAGTGAAGCTGTCTAAGCGGTTAAAAAGAATCAGAACTAATTATGGTTCATGCCCGGTAATAAATTATTACAGAAGAAATAAAGCACGCCAATACCTCTGCTCAATGCTCTCAGAAGACGAGGTAAGCAAACATGTTAAAAAAGAAGGGAGAAAATTTTTGTCTGACAGTATGAGCCTCTTTTGTTGGACCATCAAGCCCAAAAGTTCATCAAGAAAATGGCTCCAAATTGCAGTGTTCCCTGTTAATAATCCAATTATGTTATAGTAAGGGAAAAGAAACGAATAAACTTGACCATATGAAAGAAAAATACCGTCCATCATACCATTTTTCTTACTGGAGAAGTCCACTCGACACCACAATTTATAAAGCTTTTCAACACAGTCCATGGCAGCAATCCTAGTAGCCTGAAAACAGAATCTCACAAATTTATACACAACAAAGAGCTAAAAACATATTTGCATAGTGGTAGAGTAAAAATCAGTCCCGTTTGAGTTATAGGTTGAGAATGCAGAAAGTTAGAGAGAGAGAGAATGAGTTTTCGAAAAGCAAGTTTTCTGTTAACAAGTTTAGAGAGGTCCATGGAGGAGTTTTATGGTCAGCTTTTGTTGACAATCTTAGTAAGCAAGTGCGTCGTAGTGAGTTATGGAACCGTTTTAGTGTTTATGGGAAAGTTATTAAGGTGTTCATTCCTCTTTTTAATAACAAACCGAAGTATAAGGTTAGTACGTTTGCTTTTGTCCACTTCGCTTGTAAGGAGGATCTGTGTAATGCAGTGGAAAATATGAACAATGTCATGTTTGATGGAAGGAGAATCTCAGTGTCTGTAGCTAAGTATCAGAAAGCCTCTCCGTTGAGGAGGCAGGTAGATGAGAGGGTAGATGGTTCATCTAGTGGGGCATCAATGAGGGAAAATGTGGGAAGTGTTTTGTCTAATACTGAAAGGGCTAGGAAGATGGAGTTGATGGGTAGGTTTTATGATGGTAGGACTTTTAAGGATACGGTTGTTGGGGTGAACAAGGTTCCAGAGGTTGTCAAGGACATTTTTTTACCTATGGAGGAGAGGAGAAAACCTATGGATGTTTTTATTCCGATGGACGATAGGGTCTGGTTGAGATCGTCTCTTACCGGGATTTGCAAAGCAATATTTGAAGTAGATTTTGTGCAGAAAGCGTTAAGAAATGAGGGTTTCGATGTTAAGGTCGTTAGATGGGGCTTTGCAAAAAATGCTTGCATGGTTGTTTTCCAGTCGGCAGAGGAAAAAAGGAGGGTGACAGAAGGAAACTGGGAAGCTCTATCTTTCTGGTTTTAGTATTTGGAACCTGTTTTGGATGAGGGTGGCATCCCCCAACCTTTTTGTATGGTTTCCATTATTGGAGTTCCATTAAATTGCTGGTCCGTTCCTTTCTTTACTAGTTTGGCATCTAGGTGGGGGGAGTTAGTGAAGATCAAAGACGAAACTGCCCAAAGAGTGGACTGCAGGGTGGCGCATCTGCTGCTTAGGGTCGTCAGTCCTTTTGACATCCCTGAGCATATGAGCGTGAATACTTATGGGAGGAAATTCCTGATCAAAATTAAGGTGGAATGTGGTGATGATTTTTTTCCTGAGTTGTCAGGATTGGTGGAAGAGGATGTTCCAGAGGTTCCTGGGGCGGGGAGTTCCGCTAAGTGCAGTCAAGAGGATGTTCAGGTGCAGAATGATTGGCACGTGGGTTGTCAGGACAAGTCAGGAGCTCATTCTAGGCTGTTGGAATGGGCCCAAGGCTCCCACCATGACAATGTCTTGGGAAATGGGAAAGGTTTCAATGGGTGTTCAAATTCAATATTTAATTATTCGGTGGACAAGTGTAGAGTGGAAGATGCAGAGGCTGTCTCCACCCAGCATGGAAAATCGGAAGGCTTTATTGGAGGAATAGAAGGTGGAATGTGTATGGGGGGTGAGTCTCTTGAGCATGATAAAGTTGACTGGGAGAATGGGCTTCGGATAGGTACATCAAGTCCAGTGTTGAGTGGTCTGGACCTAGTTATTGGCCAAAAATTCTGTTCTGCTACAGATAAGATTAACGATCCAGCTGGGATTGAAGATGGTATGGGGTATGTTAAAGTGGTTAAGGTGGTAAGCTCATCAGGTGGTTCACAGCCTCGGTCTGCAAGTTCTGTGAAGTCCGGCCCGGTTCGCAGGAAGTTAGTTAGGAGTTTCAAGAGGTTTTACTGCAGGTCTAAGAGAAGAAAGTTGTGGATTAAAGACGTGCAGGCTGGTAAGAAGGGTTCTCGAAGGGAGTCCAGTAAGGAGTTAAGTAGGGCTGCAAGTTCTGAGGGTGGGAATTCTGAAATTCCAGTAGCTGCTGGGTCTTCAGAAAGAGACAATGGTGGTCCAAGGATGAGGAGTCTTAATAGGAGATTTAGAAGATCACTCTTTAGGGAAGCTGTGGAACATGCCAGTGTGTCCACATTATCCTCATCAGCTTTTCCTGTGTTGTTGGAAGAAGCTGTTGCTACATGGGAAATCAGTAAGATTCTGGGTGTTTCTTTCAAGGAAGGGAAGGATGCTTTTTTACAAAAGATTATGGACTTGGAAAAAGGCTCGAGTGCGGTCAGCTGAGGTCGGGGAATTCATAGGTTTTTTTCTAGTTTTGTCATATAAGTTTAGAATGCAAAGGCTTATTATTTTGTCTTGGAACGTTAGGGGGTTGGGTAAAAAAGAAAAGCAGAGAGCTGTTCAGAAATTAATCTCAGAGAAAAAACCATCTTTTCTTTTTCTTCAAGAAACAAAACTTGAGAATTTACCTTTCGCTTTTTTAAGAAGGAGTGGATTGAATAAGTTGCAAGGTTTTGTTGTGTCTCCAGCAGAAGGCTCTTCAGGAGGTATTTTTAGTTGTTGGGATGAGTCTGTTTTTACGTTAGAAGAGCATCATATTCATAAGAGGTTTTTAGCAGTGTTCGAGGAATTTAAGTCCAGCCAACTTAAATGTGGGTTTATAAACGTCTATGGTCCTTCTGTGGAAGAAGAGAAGGCAGGGTTTTTTGAAGAACTGGGACTGTTCATTAATGGTTCCAATGTCCCTTTGTGCGTGGGAGGAGATTTCAATGCCTACTTAACAGAGGATGAGAAGGATGGTATGGCTCAAAATAGGAACTCGATGGAAATCTTTAGGCTTTTTATTCAGCAAACGGGTCTTATTGATTTGCCTTTAATAGGGGGGAAATTTACATGGAGAAGCAATCGGGATGTCCCAACTGTTGTTAAACTAGATAGGTTCCTGGTTAATGTCAGTTTCTCAGAAAAATTTCACTGTATCAACCTATTTTTACTGCCAAAGTCTATCTCGGATCATAATGCTATTGTTCTTGAGAGTGGGGAAGATAATTGGGGGAAGAGGCCTTTTAGATTGTTCAATTATTTAATGTCTGAGGATGGTTTTGAAGAGAAGGTGGTTGAGTCCATTAAGGAGTTCAAGGAGGAGAAGAAAAAAGCTGGAATTTTGAGCATTCTAAGGAACACAAAGTCAGCCATTAAGAGCTGGTCTGGGGTAAGGAAACAGTTTCCACGGCTGGATATTGCTGCTCTGGAAGATAAAATTCATCAGTTGGAATTAAGTTTGCAGCAAAATCAGAGTGCCAATGCAGATGTCAATGCGGCAGAGTTGAGGAAATGGAGAAATGAATTGTGGAGACTTTACAGAGTTGAGGAGCAAATTTTGTTTCAAAATTCAAGAGAAAAGTGGGTGAAAGATGGAGACCGGAATTCTAAGTTTTTTCACACAAGTGCTTCCATTAGGAGGAGGATGAATTCTATGAATGCAATTCATGTTGATGGTAAAATTATCAAAGATCCGGTTATTATAAAGTCTACTGTCAGAAAACATTTTTTTAAAGCTTTTAATCATCGTTCTACCTTGGAAGTGGAGGATATTAATTTGAACTTCTCAAGAATTTCTCTCGAGCAGAGTCTGTTGTTAGAGAAGGAGTTTACAGAAGAAGAGATTTGGGATACCATAAACTCGTGTGATAGTAACAAAGCTCCTGGGCCAGATGGGTTGAATATGGGTTTCTTCAAAAAATTCTGGCCTCACTTGAAGAGGGATATTCTGAAGTTTTTCCATAATTTCTTTTTGGGAAAGGAGTGGGAGAATGGCATTAATCATTCTTTCATTACCTTAATCCCGAAGGGTTCTAATATTGGGGGTTTGGATGATTTAAGACCTATTTCTCTCGTAGGAGGGATGTACAAGATTCTGTCCAAGTGTCTGTCGAGAAGGTTGAGAGGTTGCATCAAGGATATTATCAGTGACTCACAATTTGCTTTTATTCCGGGTCGACAAATTTTGGATTGTTCTTTTATTGCTAATGAAGGTATCGACTTATGGAGGAAGAAAGGTCTGAAGGCTTGTGTCTTTAAGGTGGACTTTAAGAAGGCTTATGATACGGTAGATTGGGACATTCTCTTTAAAGTTTTGGATAAAATGGGTTTCGGATCAAAATGGTGTAGCTGGATTCGGACTTGTGTCACTACAGCTTCGATGTCAGTGCTGGTTAATGGTGTTCCTACGGATGAATTTTCGTTGTCTAGAGGTCTTAGACAGGGTTGTTCCCTCTCCCCTTTGCTGTTTAATCTTGTTGGTGAATTGCTTAATCTTCTGATTATCCAAGCAGTCCAGTCAGGCCTGTTTTGTGGCCTGACAGTTGGCAAAGACGAGAATGTTGTTAATTTGTCTCATCTGCAATTTGCAGATGATCTCATCATCTTCTGCAATGCATCGAAGACTCAGATTCTTAATGTTAAGAGGGTTCTTCGAGTTTTTGAAGTTATGTCAGGCCTTAAATTGAATCTCACTAAGAGTAAATTATTTGGGATTAATATTTCTGAGGAAGAGGTTACTCAGTGGGCTAATGCTATAGGTTGTTTGGTAGGTCATTTCCCGTCCGAATATTTGGGGCTTCCTCTTGGTGCTAAGCGAAATTCCCAGCAGATGTGGGATCCGGTAGTGCAGAAGTTTTACAACAGATTAACAGGCTGGAAGGCTAAGACAATATCTATGGCAGGCAGATTGGTTTTATTAAAGGCAGTTTTGTGTGCTTTACCAACCTACTATATGTCCTTGTTCAAGATTCCTGTTTCGGTATATGATAAACTCAATGCTATCATGGCTAGATTCTTATGGGGAGGAGGGGTTGAGGCCAAAAAAATTCATTGGGTTAATTGGTCGACAGTTTGCTCTGATAAACGGGTGGGTGGTCTTGGTGTTGTGGATCTTAATTTTATGAATAGAGCTCTACTTGGGAAATGGAGTTGGAGGTTTGCTAATGACTGCGATTCAGTGTGGAAAAAGGTAATCTGCGGTAAATATAATTTGGACTCTAGTTTTTTGTCGTTCAATGAAAAACTACCTACTAATGCTTCTTGGATCAGGAAATCGATGGTTAAGAACCATTTCAATGAGGATCAATTTGGAACTAAGTTTCAAAGTTTGTTTAATGTTAGGATGGGGAATGGTGGGAGTATCAGATTTTGGTTTGATAGTTGGGCGCTTGATGTCCCTCTTAAAGTGGTTTTCCAAAGATTGTTTGCTCTGTCGATAAACAAAAATGGGAAGCTTAATGAGTTTGGGGAGTTTCGGTCATCAGTTTGGGTTTGGCATATTCAATTGAGAAGGAATTTAAGTGATTGGGAATTGGATCAGTTTGTTGAGTTAATGGATGTTATCCATAATTTCACACTAAATAATGAGATGTCAGATGGTATGGTTTGGAGAGGGAATGGGGAAGGAATTTTTTCTGTTAAGTCGTGTTTGAAGTCTTGCTGTCCTGTTTTGACAGCAGATTCTTTTTGGACGAAGCATATTTGGAGGGGTTTGGTGCCTCCTAGAGTGGAGATCTTCATGTGGCAGGTCGTGTATCAAAGGTTGCCAGTTAAACTTGAATTACAGAAGAGAGGAGTTTCAGCAATTGTTGATGTTGTTTGTCCATTATGTAAGGTGGATGAATCTTCTTCTCATTTATTTTTTACTTGCTCGGTCGCGTGGTCTGTTTGGAATAATTTTTTGAGATTTTGGGGAGTTTGTTCAGTCTTACAAGCTGATGCTAAAAGTTTTTTGTTAGCTTGGGGAGATTTGGTGCCTAGTTCTATAATTTGGTCTTTCATTCCGAGAGTGGTGTTTTGGACAATCTGGAAATGTAGGAATGCGATTGTGTTTGATAAGGGGAGTTTAGATCAGACTGATCTTTTCTTTATGGCAAGATATCGACTGGCTGCATGGTTCTTAGCTGTCTATAAGGAGACGTCTATTCTAATGGACTGTCTTATTTGTGATCCTTCGCTTGGGGATTGTTGCGCTAATTCTAGATCTTCAGTCATTAAAATTAAGGCCTGGACTCGGCCTCCAAAGGGCTATATAAAGTTGAATGTGGATGCAGCTGTTACTGCAGATTGGAGGAAAAGTGGAGTTGGGGGAATTCTAAGAGTGGAGAATGGCTCGGTGGTGGGTTCTTTTCAAGAGGCTTCTGGTACGGGTCCTCCCATTTTGATAGAACTAATGGCAATTAAGAAGGGTTTGTTTTTCTTTGCTTCAATCCAGCAACAGTTTGAGGATCGCTTGATTGTTGAAACTGATAGTAAAATTGCGGTGGACTGGATCAAGAACTATGATAGATGTCCCAATGTATATGTAGACCTTGTGAACGAAATTGTTACTAAGTTAAGAGGTTTGGGAGGCATTATTAGATGGGTTGCTAGGTCAGCTAATGTTGAGGCTGATGCCTTAGCAAAGGCTGGTATTGGCTAGCTTTAAAGTCTTTTGGTTATGTTTGGGTCTGTTTTTTTTTTAAGCTAGGGGTTGGTGTGTATAGGGAGTCTATATGATTGTTCCCTAAGTATTTTGTAATTTATGCGTTTTAATGAATTATAAGGCACTCTTTCCCTCCTTCCGCTGATTAAGGAGCACTTAATGTTCCATTAACCATGAAGGGGGTTTTAACGAGGCCTGCCATTCCTATCAAAAAAAATACACAACAAAGAGCTCAAAAATGGGGGGCCCATCATGAGCTTATAAAACAATGCTAGCTGGCATTTAAGAATTTGAAAAATGGTAAACCTGAGTGTTGCTGGTGAGTGGAAGAAGAAGTGAGGGAAATTCAGCCAAAAGTTCAAATGGTAGTCTATCATTTAGCTGAGAACAAAGAAATGAGAAACAATGGAGGCTCTCTACTTGAACTGCTGCAGGAACTTCTGCAAAATCAATGATATAAGCATAAGCAACCAGTAATCGAAATCAATGACATAAGCATAAGCAATCTGTAATCAACCTCCAGCCAGTAATCATTGAATCAGGTATAGTCTTCTCAAATTCATTTTACATTGTAACTTTGCAAGGGTATATTCTACAAAAAATGTTTAAGGCCTTAATTATCATTACAGTTTTACAATTGTAGCTCTTGTAGAGAAACTTAAATAGAGGCAGATTCATTTAGCAGACAATCCAGATTACTTGGTCTCTGGTATGAAACCTAGACTTGATAGAATTGGGCAGGCATAAAGCATATGTCAGCCTTCAAAATTGAAAAGAAAAAGGGGAAACCAGAAAATCACCTTCGGCTGTATAAAAACTAGACAGAAATCGAACTGGTGAAACTTTGCATTTTCTAAGAAAGTCATGTAGATGCTTCTCAACAAGTTGTTGGAGGTGTTTCTTGAATGCATTCTTCAAACTAGAACCTGACACAAAGATGAAGAAATCCTGAACTCGGGCTATGCATTCCTCACTATCATCCTAAAAGAATGAAAAAGAAAAGGTCAGGGTGATGCAACTCAACCATCAAATCAGCTACAAAAAGCAAGAGAAAGGGTCACTGACCAAAAAGACTTCAGCATCTACTGCTGAATCAAGTAACCTCCAAAATACGCATGTAAGAATATTTTTATTTAGAGTATCAATATCAACATCAAATAGCTGATCTAGGAACTTTCTGCAATCCCAATCAAGCATCTCTTCATTGAACTGACAAAACAAAAGAACACAGCATTGAATAATTTGAACAAAAAAAAAGAAGCAATTGAACACCAAATAATATCGAAATTGACTCTAACCTCTTGTAGAGAAATCCCAACAATAGAGCCAATAGCTTCCCACTCGGACTTCAGAACTGGAAAGCAAGCATCGAAGAGTACCAAAAAATTTCCACCTAATAGGCAAAACATACAGAACAAGCACCTAGTTTAACCGAAAAAGTGCAAACTCAAGGGAATTATGATGAGATATGATGCAAATAGTTCAACAAAATTGCATATAAAATTTCTTCACTAAAAAGTTGATTTGACATTAAATCACCCACCAAAAGCCAACATATTCATTAGAAAATAGAAGCATCAAAAAGTGCCACATCCAATCATCCATAATAAATATATTAAAACCGAAATGTTAGCATAACACTGGAAGTCCAAAGACCTATGCATTCCATGAAAGAGTAAAAAAACATACTCTTTATCGACATAGAAAATGACTGCATCAGAACCAAAAAGAGAAGAGTCTTTGAAGATTTAAAGCTATTGCAACTTCTGATAAGCCAGGGCATATACTCATTAGGTTGCACCAAGAACTCCTCCGATAAACTTCTAATAATTTCCATATTAACTGTACACACACTTCCACGCTTCTGCATTTTTCTTTCAAATCTGCCGACAGCCTCCGCATCAACTGATGATCCAGAGAGCAACTTCTGCAACTTTTAAATTTCAAAGTTATTCAGCTCCAATATAAACTGAAAAGTGAACTATAATTAAATAATTGAGATTTAAAGGCAAGAACAAGTAGAGTACAATTAAAAGTAGTCAAACAGCTAGACTTTCACCTAAATCAAATGTTACTATTCCCTCTAAAATTTTGATGGCAGTTATCAATCCCTCAAGGCTAAAATATATAAAAATTTTATATACTATGAGAAGATCTTCACAGACTACCACAGGGAGGTTGCTCCAGTTTTGAAATTCAAACTTAAGTCCAGATTTGACCAAATATAACACAAATCCGACACTCAAATACGATCTTCGTCAACCCAAATTTATATTTGCTTTCCCTCCTTCATAAACATAAAAGGTATCTGGCATACCATATTCAACAGGTGTGTTCTGTTGTTCTTGACTAATCTCATGTGAGGTTGATGATCACCAGTGAGATTATTCATGTGAATGCCCTTGTTGTGCTACAGGTGAGAGGTGCGTTAAGTGGGGTTATCCAACATTTATTAAGTTTGGGGTTTATTGTGATCTTATATTCAAGTTGAGCCATCTATCTATTACCAATTGGTTTTAGGAGGGATGCCTAACTTAAAGTTTAAAATTACAAAGAAACAAAAAAAGGCAGTAAATAAAAGGAAGAAAAGAAAGTTAAGACTCACCACTTCCTTCCCAGATGCAGCTGCAAGAGTCTGGAAAAATGGCCAATTTATTTTCTTGGCTAAATCCAAAACCCTTAAGCTCAACCTATGAGTCTGCATACATGTGAAATACTACCCATCAATTAAGAACAGAAATACTGCTTAATTGGTCCAATTATGGCACCTTAAGAAATCAAGTAATATAAGCACCTCAGGCAGAATAAGTAGTAATGAGAATATCATGGAAGCAACTTCTTTCAAATAATCTATTTGATCATGGAAGCTGAACACGGCAATCTCTAGGAATGAAACAGCAACATCACAAGACAAAGTAGAGTTGACTGATGATCCTGAAAATGAGGAGCATAAGTAAAAAAGAAATGATTCCCTCTGCAATCCTGGTGGGTTAATCCCCAGCTATTCTATAAATTCAATTGAACAAAATCCATCCAGCTGATAAAAACTTTTATCACTGCTTTTTATATAACATAACCAGATTTAATTTAAGAGCAAGATATAAACCTCAGGGACTTATATTTCAGGACTTCACTCAAGAACTTCCGTTACAAGAGTATCCTCCGATTTTGAATACCTGATAATCTGCTTAAGTCAACCATTGCGCATTCACCATAACTTTTTTTTATAGAAGTAGGAGGTCTCATTAAAACAAATGAACTCCCAAATCTAATACAATTAAATCATTGTGCAATGCTGATAAAGTACACTACAGAAGCAGAAGGGATAGATATACTGCCTCAGAACAAAATATTTACTTATTTATTTTCTCTTTTTTTGGCAAGAGATGTAAATTGGCAAATTAGAAATAAATCAATATGGTACTGATGCTTCTCTGTTTCTCTAGGAGGTTTAAAGGCAGCAGGGGAAACAGTTAAGATTTCAAAATTCTAATTACTGACCTGATATCAGAAAACTTAGACATCTCTTAAGCACATCACGTAATGCTTCGAGAAGATCTGAAGGACTTATTATTTCAGTCAATCCATCCACAGACAGAGCAGCTTGAACCACAGTTAAATCATCATCACGAAGCTGGCACAGTATGGCATCACTAATAACCATGAACTTCTGACAACAGAATCATTGAACAAACATCAGTCAAGAAATGAAATAAGCTAATGTACACATAATTAACATAGTATATAAAAATAAAAGAAAGCATGATATCTTCTTGCAAAATAAAAGAAACAAACTTGTCAGCCAATCTAAAAAACTGCAACTACAATTAGCACTGAAGTCATATTAAAAAAGTTAAATGGATACAAAAATAAGTGAGACTGCCATTTACTTAAGAAAAAAACACCAATAGGAGCAGAAAATTTCATGAAGAAGTCAAAAGAAGAACAAAACACAAATAATGGGAAGAATCAAATTCATTTGCAGCAAGAAGGTATAAAAAACACCAGATCAGATAAATTCAGGAAGAGTAAAGCAACACTGAAGAAACTCAAAAGATAAATATAGTCCTAAAAAGGCATGAAATTATTCAAGCACCCATGAAAACATTATCATGTCAAACTAGAGGCATGAAGCATCAAATAAGTACAATGCAGAAACAAAAAATATATGTACAGTGCATATGAATTACCTGTGCATCAAGAGACTTTATTTTAAGAATAGCAGATCGGTCAAGCCCTGAAAATATAGCACGTCGAACCTCGGGCTACATCACAGCACCAAAGCATAAGAAGTCTTGAACATATATTCAGCGGGTCCTAACAATCTGATACTAAATAATACCTTAGGATGGTGTGATGCAAACCATATTTTGGACTCTGAAAAGGCTGAAGATAAATCCAAATTCCCGTCCAAAATTTTACTCAATAACTCACAAACAGTGTCTTCTTTCTTGGATTGTACTTTGGCATCCTAGTAGAACAAACAGGATCAATACAAAAACATAAGACCAGAAGCATGAAAAAGTTGCAAACAAGCAAATATATGATGGAGTAACAGTTAAACTGACCTTTAGGAACTTGCGAACAGAAACTTGAAAATGTGATGGATAATTCTTATTGATAGCGGCTAAAACATTCTTGGCCCAGGTTACTGCAAAATAATTCACAGATGATTAAGAAATACAGCATAATTAGAACCAGTAATCATGTTTAATGTAAACGTACAGTTCTCCTTCAAGTGATATTCAGAATTTAAAAAGGAAAAAGCATGCCTACAATAGAAGTTCGCCAACAAAGTTCAAAAGTAATAAAAATAAAGATATCAAAGTAAATAAATAATACAATGTGCACCGGTGGAACAAAATTTAAATTGAAATAAGAATGTTGATAAATTTATAAGAGATACCTGATTCAAAAGTTGCCAATTTGCCACCACCCTCAGATAATTTCATGCATGTTAGTAGAATCTTTGGGACAATATGATCCACTAAATTCCTCAAAGGAACTGTTTCTATTACTGATATTAAAGCAGGATGATATGAGTCATCATAAGAACTGCAATAAACAAAAATCAGCTTAGAAGCAGCAAGTGTGCCAAAAAATAGGACAAGCAGGAAAATCTAATCAGCTTCAGACCTTTGATCAATCAGAGCTTCCAACAGTATGGCAAGGAATCTATCAATATTAAACTCTTGAGATAGTTCCAGAAGAACCGTGCCAATATCCCTTTCAAAGCATGCAAAAAAGTTAAATTACACATAAACCTGGTGACAATAGAATTGCGGTACTATTTTAAATTTCCAAACAATGTTTAAAGAGACAAGGAGTTACCTGATATCCCTCAAAATTTCCAAGGCCTTCTTTGGGAATATGTCAACAGACTGTGACTGCAAAATTTACACAAACTACAGTAAGAAAAATAGAAACAAGACAAAGCTGATAACATAGAACCTAAAATTTATTGCAAGAACGACTAGATTCTCAAATCAAGTGACTTCAACTAGACCCATTTTGTAAGAAAGGTGCATCAAGCACCTGTTCAAAAGCATCCCTTTATAGTATAAACTGATCCTTAAAAGAAAAGAAATAAGTATTAAGTAAGATCTCAATTTAGTAATTTAGCAGAGATGAAATGGCTATAACACCGACCAGATGAGAATTTGGATCAAACTAATATATCTTTAACATGTTCATCATGAGAAAAGCAACACAAACTGTTCACAGCTTGGTTTTAAAATGCGGGATGCGCTCTGATGCGTTTAGTTCTCCGAAGTCGATGCGTGATGCGTGATGCGCTCGCATCACGAACCCGATGCGCCAATTTTCACAAAAAAAAATACTTTTGAACTAATTTTATACATTGTAAATACTTATATATCAAAAATATTTCAATTAATACCAAAAGTAGTTTAATAGTACTTCATAAATGTTGAATAACAAAATAGACAAGTACGCGTAAGAAAATCAAAATAACCAAAAGACAAATCAACAATAGCCCCCACTTTCCTTTCCCCCACTAAGTTCTCCAAACTTTCTCTAGTCACAAACTAAATATCTCCAAGATCTCATCATCAAACCCGAGCACGTCTCCATCTCCCTCATCATCATCAGTCACTCCAATGTCTTCCTCCATCTCATCTTCATCAACAAGAACGAGTATTTTTCCTTTATCATTTCTTGATGGGCCGACCCCATCATCACCTCCTCTTCTTGATCCTCTAGTGAAATGACTTTACTCATTAGTCCCGGAAACTCTACCCACCGCATCCCGTGTAAGATCATCATCAAGAAACACCAAATCTTCTTCATCTTAAAATAACTAAATTAAGAGATCAAAATTTAATTTGAACTATAGTGTGAATCCATATGGTTGAATTAATGCGAAGAACTATTTCAACCGAGTAGTGCATCGAAACGCATGCCCATTATCAAACAGAAAAAGATCCGTTACTAAGCCCGCCCAAGAGTCTGAGGCACGCGTCACATCCTCATCAACTAACATCAATGCAAAGTTGCTCAACCAAACACGTGCACAATACTCCAGACTCAATTACAACATTACACCTTTCTAGATAATACGGTACACGCGTATGATAAAGGTGTATTAAATATACACTTCACCTCCCTCCGTATAACGCCACCCTCACAGCTCTCTTTTTCACCTCAACATCCCTCTTTCATCATCTTACACTCCGTTTTGCCCTTCTTTTGTTGATCTCTTTCATTGTACGATCAGGGCTTTTCATCATGACGAATGATCAAAAGAAACCCATGACTCAGAAGCTGTACGAGTCAGCTCCATCATCTCGGTAGGCGGCCAAGTTTTTAACGGCGACCACACTCAGTGCAACGTTGCTTTTCTTGTCAGGGTTAACCTTGACCGAGACTGTGGCGGCCAAGATTTTACTAAACGCCCAAAAAAACTTTTACTAAACGCATCGGCCCGCATCGGATCGCATCAGACCGCATTATGTACCCCTACCGCATCAGGCTGCCAGATGCGCTTTGACCATCGCAACGGCCGCATCATGCATCAAGCGCGCCTGATGCGCGCTTTTTTAAACCAAGGTTCACAGTATACAGAAACAGTTGAAATTGAAAAAAACAAATCCATGAGAGTGACACCAAGCCTCTCTTTAGAGTAAAAATAGTTGAAATCAAATTCACAAGTGATATGTATGAAAACCTCAAATGAGAAGTGCCAAAACCACATCAATAGAGAATGATTGAAATTATAAATTCATAAACAATAGGAATTTAGGATGAAAATGCTTTTCGCAAAATACAGAATTGGCATGAGTAGGATGCTGTTACCTGAACAAGATTTATCAAAGCCATAAGGGACAACCGAAACCATTGCAAATCAGTAGACTCCTTTACATCTTCCCTAGCAACCTCAGTGACTGTTCGAATCAAACTATTCACAAGCTTGGGAGACAATTCCACTTTATTTGCTAGTAACCCAGCAATCATCAAAGCACCAGCCTACATAAAAAATGTATATAATTCATACTATTGCATCTTGCAATCAGCAACATCAATGTTGTGTAAAGAATCCATAAAACAAAATAGAAGCAATAGTAAAAGCAATTTTCAAATAGTTACACTCATGCCTTTAAAGTACCTTGTGATCAGAAACTCCTTTTGTACCAGTTTGAAGACCAGAAGCTACAAATGGATGGATTCTCTTCACAATGTCACTGTCAATAGTTGCAACACAACCCAAAACTTCAACAATAACTGCAGTGCAAAAGCTAGCCACCGGTCTTGATGCCTGAAATTTCTTTGTTGGAGATGCCTACAACAGATAGCAATTCATGTGATAATCAATGGAAGATATCCACTGAATTACACATTTTATACAGCAGTAACTCACATAGTTGCACAAGGCCTCCAAAACTCCCATATCCCGAATGCATTGTTGCACAATCACAGACCTAGGAGGTGGTGCACCAGATGCTTTAACACCATCCAAAAACTTCCATCTACTATTCCTGTACCACTCAAGAAATATAAACAATCATTTACAAACAACTATTCATCATAATCAAGGGTTAAAAAAGGAAACCTCGTGTTCTTCTTACCCTGTGTTGATTAACTGAACTATACGAACAAAAGCATGTGTGTCATGGTATGGAAGCACGCATAAAACCAAATCCTCAATGTTGTAAACATGAATCCTGAAAATGCAAACGCCAATCACATCAACATTATCACATCAATAAATAAATATAATAAATTCACCATTCAAGTAAAAAACAATATCAAAAGGTATAAAAAACTGAATATTTACTTGTATTGACGTATCAAGTACTCAAGTGTTTTAAGAGACGCCGGAAGCTGGAGATGTCCGGATAGTAACCTCAAATACAAACTTATCGAGGAATTAAGTCGGTTATTATCATCCACCCCCATCAATTCTCTATCCAATTCTTTACTCTTGAGACTGAACAAATCATTCTTGTATTTTCTAAACCTTTCGTCGACGCCTACTATAATCTCTAGCCCTATACACGGCATGAAGCAAAATATTTTCAATAAAACATACGAACAAAAACAACCCAAACAGAGATTCTTCTCTGAAACATAAGGATTACACAACGAGAACTAACCTGACAATCCAATGTTTAGAATGGTGTCGATATCGATGTCGGCAGCCTCTTTAGGGTTGAACAAAACGGAAGGGCGTGTGAAAGGTCGCTTCTGAGGTTCATTGTCGGTTTGAATAAACGATTTAATCGCCTGTAACTGCGAAGCTATCGAGCTCGCCATTCTGTTCTTCAAAAATCAAGAGAGAAGAAAGAGATATGTGATTTTTGGAAATCAAAAGAGAGGAACGGCTACCCAGCAGAAGTCAGCTTAAAGCCTCAATCAAAACCCTAAAGCGCCGCACTGGGGTTTAAGCTTAACCGCTTTTTTCAGAAACCTCCTAAAAATATTTGGGATATTAAAATAGCCTTTTTATATCGAAAGGAGAAACCTTTCAAAGTTTAAAATAGTGTTTATTGTCTGTAGGTTTGGTAAAAAAAAAGTTAGGCTAAAGTACCCAAATGATCCCCGATTATAAGATTCATTTTGTTGAGTCCCTTAACTATTAAAAGTTATAAAATAATCTCTTATCTATAGGATACTATTTTTTTGAGTCTTCTTACAATTAAAACTTGCGAAACAGTTACCTAACTATTCATATGTTATAAATTCATCTTTTTCTATTAAAAAATTACGATCGTCTGGCCTAAACATTAATTTGTTAGTAGGATATGACAAAATGTAATTGGTGTACTTTACCCTAACATTAATTCAAATGAGGAGCTAAAATAAGTGTACAATAAGCGTCTAAATTATACATTTTACGAATAGTATCTGTTTAAAGATTTTTTTGCTCAATAAGTGTTTAATGTTTTCTCCATTATACTTTTAAGTGTCTATATCGTAACGGTCATTAAATTTGATCGTTAATTGACATGTGTCACATTTATATTTTTTTAAAAATTTTATTTAAAAATTCCCCTTACTTGCATAATCTCCTCACCTGCAGATTCTCATTTCACGTTCAATCTATCGTATTTCAATGATAATTTTAAAATTATTGTCGAAATGATTTTTTTTCTAAAAGGTGAAAAAGCGAGATTTTAAAAATAACATTATTTCTTCATTATCTCTTTTTAATTTAAAAACAAATGCGATTTAAAAGACCCCTCGTTTCGAAAATTTTTAGATTTCCGTTACGATCGAAAAAACGGTTCGAAGAGTCGCCACCAATCTTTGATTAGGGTGTGATTGGGCACCCAAAAAAGCTTTGTCATTTTAAATAAAACTTAATTTTAATTAAAACAACAAATTGAGTTTTGCGTTATCAAAAATGAGTTCGGGAGTCGGTTACGTATGGGGAAGGATTAGCACCCCCACAACGCCCTAAATCGGTACCTGGTCGATTAATTAAAGTCTTTGCAATGAACTTTACAAATTCGAACTTAATTTGATTTTTGATCCCATAAAACAAAGATGTGAATTTAATAATATTCAAAAGCACTCAAGTAAATTAAATTAAAATTACCAAGTCTTTTTAGAAAGATAAAGAATGTTCGATTATTTACAAATATCGAGACCAGATCTTAAAGATATAACATTTTCTCGATATATTTAAATAAACAAACATTTCTTTTTCTCTCGTTCCCAAATTTTAGGTGACGAATCAATTTTTTTGTTTCACTTTCGGGATACACTTTTAATTTAAAATCGTCAAAACGACCCTCTAATCAGTTAAGACATGCCACTCATGACGATTTTAAATTAAAAGGGTATTACCCTTTAGTCCGATTATGTAATATGTCGAGTTATGCACATGAGGGTATTATACAAATTTACTAAAAAAACATACTCGAACAAATGTTTGGACCTAAAAAATAATATATTTAGAAGAATACATGCACAAGTGAATATATATATATATATATATATATATATCTATTTTTAAACATGCTAAGGGATTCTCAACATTTTAAAATGACTAAACTTATGTACATTACAGGCATTATAATACGTAATAAATATCTACAATGCTTTTTCAAATAATAATTTAAAGAAAAAATGTTTATCGCATTATGCATAGTATATGCATGAAATATTGGTACAAAAGATTAAGTCCTATTTAATATTTAAATACATGCAGACATACGACTACACATATATCATATAATATTCTAGATAAAATAAACATTTCGAATAAATGAATTACTATCCATGAATGAAACAAAAAATATCATCAGTGGTTCATATCATACCCATACTTGCCTATAAATATTTTATATTATAAATGACGAAAACATGAAATAACTAAGGCATGCATACCAAAATGCAAGATACTAAATAAATGAAATGAGTTTACTGTAGGACTAAAATTAAATTTTACCCTAAAGCGTTATTGACTAAAAACTAATTTACCCAAAACTATTAATATAAAACCTAGCTAAATAACTAAACCTAGACTAATCTAACTTCACACAAAACATACCCAGCTGTTTCACGCTTCCCTCTTCACTCTTCCACGCACGGTGTTGCCTCGCCCAAACATCCATCGCCGCTATTCAAGCCTCTCCTCCCTCCTATGTCTTCGACTATAACCCAAGAAACAGAACCTAGAACCTCTTATTTGTTTTCACTACACTCCCTCTCAAACTCATCTCTTCTCCTTTTTCAACCCCATGAACGGTGGTTCCACTCTTGATGACCACCAAAACCCACTCTCAACCGAGACCTCTCACCACTACCTTTAAGTCACCTAAACTACCTCAGTTTATAACACCCCTAAACACTATGCGATCGAGAAAACCTCTCTGGTGATCACCCTCTACGACGATTTTCTACTTCTCCGGTGACCATTCCCTTAAATAGGTAAACCAATTCCTCTCTTCTAATTTTTGCTTTAGTTTTGTTTCGAAAAGTTTGTTAAAATTGAGACATAATCCACACAAAGAAAAAGTGGAGTCAACGAGACCCACTTTCGTTCTAACAGCCTAGGTAAATCCCCAAATTCTCTTTTTATTATATGCTTCGAAAGAAAGATTACACAACCCATACATGAATAAACATTTCAAAGGTAAAAAGGAAATAAGGAAATAGATGATGATAATAAAATAAAGGAAAACATGTTTATGGACTGCTAGTATTGCTTTTGAAATTCACTGTTTGTGTTAGTATTGCTTTGGAACTAAATTTCACTTTGTATTGCTTTGATTCGTTAAAACGGTCGAACTCTTCCGTTCCTTTGATTTTCAAATTGAAAGAAAATATAGTACCATGTCTTCCGTTTTGCTATCTACCTTCTGTAAAGAGATACAATGGAAGTTTTTTTTGGCTTTTACTCCCGATTCCTTGTTGATATCTCTCTATCTCTCAAATCTCTTTTTCCTTTGGCCCCGTTTCTGATGGTTAATTGCCAATAAAACCGACCCTCCCTTTACAGTTTCTTTATCTTTGCTCATGATCATGGAGCATGATTCTTTGGGTAACTCCTGATAACTTGTTAGTTATCATACGTGGTTGAGAAGGACCTTTTCTTTCCGTTTGTTGCAGGTACATCCATGCGTGCAAATTTGGATCATTAGATCACCATTTGTTGGGCCTACAATCATATAATATGTAAAAAAACATTAAATTTAATAATAATATAATATATATTTAAAAATTTCAAAACTGACACCATACTATATTTTATTATCTTTCTAAACTACTCTATATACCATATTTTATTATCTATTTGTCATGCTACATTATTATATAATTATCAACAAATAAAATAAAATAACCTAACATAAGCAAAGCAAAATAAAATTATAAAATAATAGCAAAAATCTTTGGACGAAAACACGTGTCTACAGCTGCCCCTCTTTGTCCACGGTTGTACCACAACAGTAGGGCAAAGAATAAAGACATAAGTTTTCGTCTAAAGGCGATCCATCTCTTCATAATAAATCTACGCCACTGCGACTTCGTAATAAGTAAGACTTGAAAAATCTTCGAAAGACAAGCATGCTCCCTATTCCTTCAAGGAGTATAAGACTCGAAAAACATTCGACAAACAGGTTCACTCCATATACCTTTAGGAAGTACAGAACTTGAATAATCTTCTAAAAAAGGGGTTCGCTCCCTATTTCTTCAGGGAGTACAAAACTCGAACTATCTTCAGCAAACGTGTCTGCTCCCTATTCGTTCAGGGAGTATAAGACTCGAACAATTTTCAATAAACAGGTCCGCTCCCTATTCGTTCAGGGAGTATAAAACTCAAACAATCTTCAAGAAACGTGTATGCTCTCTATTCCTTCAGAGAGTATAGAACTCAAACAATCTTCAATAAACGTGTCCGCTCCCTATTCCTTCAGAGAGTATAGGACTTGAACAATCTTCAACAAATGTGTTTATTTCACTACTCTTCCGTGAAGGCTTATAGATGATTTGCTTCACTACTCTTCCGTGAAGGCTTAAGATTGAGTCATTTCAAAGGTCAAACCTGACAATCAAACATTATCAATCATTAATGTATGCTTGAAAAATATCATACTCAAAAATTTAGAATTTGAGAAAATTTCTGAAAATCCATCTCCATCGCGAAAACTTGTCGGGAAGCAATTGGATACGTGAATCTACTTTGGCTTAGTTTTCGTCTAAACATCATTCTTTTCAAGATCTCAAAACCAGTTATCTTTATCTCAGTGCTTCAATATCTTCAATCTTCAATCTTCAACTATCCCTGTGAAACCTGTAGATATTTAAGTCATCATGCAATTATGAATGTCATGATCCTATTCATGCCTAAAATGTATGCAATTATGCACTTTGATGCATTTTCTTCTTCGAAGGAACTCCATCTCCTTTTGATCTTGATGGAACTCGGTTTCGTCTTGGGCACAGAACATTTGACCAGTTCACCCCAATTAACAATCTCAATTCTATATCTCTTAGCTTAACAAGACCTTGACTTCTTCCTTTATTGAAACCCACTGGTACCCATGGCCAATTTTTTGATCAATGACAATCCCCTTAGGTCATCTTTTGATGGCTGAGATTTTCTATGAACTCCAAGGTTTTAGTTTCCCGTAGCCACACAAACTTACATGTTAAAACCATCATCAACTTCAGAATACCTGCATTTTCCAAAACCTTTTGCACAATAATACAAAATGATCTCATGTACTTCAAGTTAAGCTATATGTTTTAACTTTTCAAAATAAGATGCTTGCAAAAGGGGAATTAACAAGAAAATACATCTCTTTATTTATACAAATACAGATAATTTTTAGGTAACTACACGGCAAACTTTTAACTGGGAAAAATAAAAGAACAAAAGAGTAGGCATCTTCAAATATCAATAATGAAAATGCTTTTGAACTGGCACGCCGTTAAAATGACTTGAGTGT